CATCATATATATTTAAAAACATAACTGAATTAACTAACTTCCCCTTGAAGGAACTTGAGTTTCAACAAGCTAACGTCATTTGGGACAGATTTCGAGAACCTAAGCAACCTCAAAATTCTGTAAGTACAAAGAAAAAAACCAGACAGCATGTTTCCAACAGTCGTTGGTTTTAACCTTGAAAATTGAGCTTCTTTGTCAGTTAAAGTCAGTTGTGGTGGTTTTTATTGTTAGGAATTGAAGTTGACATTCTTAAACTAAGGGCTTATATATATATATATATGTATATATATAGGGACTTGCAGAACAATAGTCTGCAGGGAATTGTTCCAGACAGCTTGGGAGAACTTGAAGATCTTCACTTATTGTAAGTGAGCTCATACCGTCATCTTTTTTGGTCGAACGTGTTTTGAAATGACTTGTGAAAGTAATGTTTTCTAGTACCGTCATCTTTTCCAGTTGAACATGTTCAAAATGGCTTTGAAAGTAATGTTGTAACACCTCAAGCTCACCGCTACCATATACTGTCCTCTTTGGGTTTTCTCTTCCGGACTTCCCCATAAGGTTTTAGAACGCGTCCACTAAGGAGAGATTTCCACACCGTTATAAGGAATGCTGAGGGGGCCCAGTGTCCTTGTTGGCACACCGCTCAGTGTCTGGCTCTGATACCATTTGTAACAGGCCAAAGTGGACGACATCTACTAGCGGCGGGCTTGAGTTGTTCAAATGATTTCTCATACTATCATATTTTTCGGTTGCATGTGTTCATAGACTTTTGAAAGAAGTATATTTTATATAAAAACTTCATTTTTTTACATTACTACTCAAAGAAAATGTTCATTTAGTGAAGATTTCAGTCACTTTCAACCTCAGAAATTTGGAGAACAATAGGCTAGAAGGCACCCTTCCATTGGCTTTGAACAAAGGAACTCTGGAAATTAGGTATGGAATTTCTTTATTTTAGCTTCTGATTTTTAGAAACATTTTCAAAATTTTTAAAACACAGAATTCGAACATGACTGTTCAAACGTTTTTACGAAAAACGATGATGTTTGATGTCGATTACTCGTTGTTGCAGAACATCAGGAAACCCTTGCCTGTCTTTCTCCACAATGACATGCAATGATGTTTCATTAAACCCTACCATTGAAACGCCACAAGTCACAGTGGTTCCCGACAGAAAGAAGGATATGAGCAGCCACAATAGCAACAATCATATGCCAATCACTATCATTGCTTGTGCAGTTGCAGCAGTTTTGCTAGTCCTCATCACACTCTCTCTTTCATTTCTACTCTACATGAGGAAGCATTCTCAATACACAGCTCAACCCACATACTCAACGAGTAAGACAAACCTTCAAGCTTGATCGATCGTTCGGTATCGTATTCGTTTCTTGTTTTTAGTTTCTCGTTGTATCGAATAAGTTTTTATCGTTAACTTCGCAAGTATAATGCTCATGCCACTTGTTTATTCCAAAAGTTCCTAAAAAAATGAGAAACGAAATGTGAGATCCCACATCGGTTGGGGAGAAGAACGAAACATCCTTTATAAGGGTGTGGAAACCTCTCCCTAGCAGACGCATTTTAAAAATCTTTAAGCCCGAAAGAGAAAGTCCAAAGAGGACAATATCTGCTAGCAGTCGGCTTGGGCCGTTACAAATGATATTAGAGCCAGAAATCGGGCGATTTGCCAGCGTGGAGGCGGTTCCCCGAAGGGGATAGACACGAGGCGGTAGGCCAGCAAGGACGCTGGGTCCCGAAGAGGAGTAGATTTGGTGGGGTCCCACATCGATTGGAGAAAAAAACGAGTGTCAGCAAGGACGCTGGGCCTTGAAGGGGGTGGATTGTGAAATCTCACGTCAGTTGTGGAGGAGAACGAAACACCCTTTATAGGGGTGTGGAAGTCTCTCCCTAGCAGACGCGTTTTAAAAACCTGAGGGTAAGCTCGAAAAGGAAAGCCTAAAGAGGACAATATCTGCTAAGCCGTTACACGAGAAAGGAGAAACGGTTCTTAGTAACGTTACCGAACGATCTTTTTTCGGACTTGAATCGGATTACTTGTTTTCGGTGGCGTAAATTCTAAGGAGATTTCAAAAACTTGTGGCATGTGTAGAGGCAGCAATGGAGCTAAGGAATTGGAACGCTGCAAAAGTATTCTCATACAAGGAGATAAAGGCAGCTACAAACAACTTCAAGGAAGTGATTGGCAGAGGAAGCTTTGGATCTGTTTATCTTGGAAAGCTTCCTGAGGGAAAACTTGTGGCTGTCAAAGTAAGGTTTGACAAAAGCCAACTTGGGGCTGATTCCTTTATCAATGAGGTACTTCTATTTATCTCGACACCATCGACTTGTCTGTTTGAATTCTCGAGTTTAGTTATACTTAAACATGATATGGACGTTTAAGCTCGGACCCATATTATTCCTTCGGGTCGAGGGATGAACCTTCAACAATGTTATTTTCTCCTCGACACATCTAAATACATGACGTATTAGACGGAGAAGATCAAATCTAACCTTGGCTTGTCATTTTTTTAAAACTTTTTGTTTAATAGGTTCATCTCCTGTCTCAAATTCGTCATCAAAATCTCGTTTGTTTGGAAGGATTTTGTAACGAATCGAAACGACAAATACTTGTTTACGAGTATTTACCGGGTGGATCCTTGGCTGATCACATCTATGGTAACTATCTATGTAGCAATTACAATGTTGATAATCAATTCTACATAGAATGGCTAATTATTTATTGTTATGTATCCTTTTTTCAGGCAAGAACAAAAAAAGTGTCTCACTCAGCTGGATTAGAAGACTCAAAGTAGCTGTTGATGCAGCAAAAGGTTCGATTTTCGTGTTACACGGGAACGTTTAATCTTTTAGTAGTTGATATATGTCTCGACCAGTTATATTTGACGTTTTATTCAAATGTTATGAGGTTTGACGAGTTCATCTTGAAAACCGTGAACTCGGGTAGGTTTTGAATTGTTGGATTTTGGCGACTTGTTTCATCGTACAATCACGAATAATTTTTCGGGTTAGATTTTTGTTATTTTTCTCGACAATATTCGATTAATTAGTGATTTTGTATTTGGTTTTATATTAGGGTTGGACTATTTACACAATGGAAGTGAACCAAGGATAATCCACCGTGATGTTAAGTGTAGTAACATTCTTTTGGATATGGAAATGAATGCAAAAGTTTGTGACTTTGGGCTGTCCAAGCAACTACCACAGCCTGATGCTACTCATGTCACCACTGTTGTCAAGGGCACCGCTGGTTATTTGGATCCCGAGTAAGCTACTTTTTCCATGCATGTTCGGGAGTAATTTTGATCCATTCTAACGTGAAAATGACAAATGCAGGTATTACTCAACTCAACAGTTAACCGAAAAGAGTGATGTTTATAGTTTTGGAGTTGTTTTATTAGAGCTCATTTGTGGACGAGAGCCTCTAAGTCACACTGGAAATCCGGATTCTTTCAATTTAGTGTTATGGGTAAATCATATTTACAAATACTTTATTTTCTCTCTACCTTACTCTCGACCTAGAGTTGAAGGTTCGAATCCTCCACCTTCGAAGTTAACATCAACAGAGGGTGGAAGGCTCGAACCTTTGTCCTCTGATCGAGAACACACGCTCTATACCTTGATTTAGAAAATATCTGTTTTTTTCTTTCTAAAACATCATGAACAAGAAATATGTCGATTGAGCTATGCTCGTGCTCGTTGTGATGCAGGCGAAACCGTACTTGCAAGCGGGTGCGTTTGAGATAGTCGATGAGAGGTTGAGGGGAAGGTTTGATGTCGAAAGCATGAAAAAGGCAGCTCTTATTGCTATAAGGTGTGTAGAGAGAGATGCTTCACTAAGGCCTAATATTGGACAAGTCTTGGATGACCTTACACAAGCTTATGATGCTCAAATTGCTTATCTTTCTACTTTTGGCCTTTGACACACAATATTATTATTTTTAAACAATTATATTTATTTATATTTTTAATATGAATTTGTACAATATTTTATTTTTCTTACACATATGAAACCAAATACTGAGAGAGAGAAATGTATATATATTTTATTTAATATTAGATATTAAAATATATTATTTTAAAGTTTTTTTTTCATATTTTTAAATTCGAATGTGAAATTTTTAGATGTGATGAGTACTATGAATGATTTCGAAACACGAACTAAATAGATCTAACCTATTACTCCAACTAAATTAAGAAGTACTAGTTACTCGTCCCTAGAGGTGATTGCTGGTTTGAATCTTTTGATTTTGGCTCCTACCGAGTGTTAGATGAAAGTCTCACATCGACTAATTTAGAGAATAATTATGGATTTATAATCAAGGAATACTATCTCCATTGATATGTAGCATTTTGGGGAAGCTCATCGCAAAGCCACGAGAAATTATACTCAAAGTGGACAATATCATACAATTGTGGAAAGTCGTGTTCGTCTAACATGGTATCAGAGTCATGCTTTAAACTTAACCATGTCAAAGCTGAAAACATGGTAAAAAATGACTAAGACTCCAAAAGAAAAAGGGGTCGAGCCTTGATTAAGGGGAAACGACGTACTAGTGTCGTCCCATATTGACTAAAAATGACTAAGACTCCAAAAGAAAAAGGGGTCGAGCCTTGATTAAGGGGAAACGACGTACTAGTGTCGTCCCATATTGACTAATTTAGGGAATGATCATGTGTTTAGACCTTTTGGGAAAACCCAAAGCATACCATTGTGGTAAGCCGTGTTTGTTTAACACGGTATCAGAGCCATGCCCTAAACTTAGCCGAATTTAATAATAATGCACAATTAAAACTCGTCTCATTTATTTAAAATAATAACTTTTGAAATTAAAAATTATAGTGTAAGAACAAAAATAAAAGCGTAGGGGCATTTTGAATAATTTAATAAATTTATTTGGTATAAAGTCAAATAGAATTAAAAAGTCACGCGCGAGCATCTCACTTATAAATACATTATTAATATGCATATATTTAATGCAGTTCTCATGAGCTCAAGCTTTTTGTTACGTTTTTAACAGCTTATGTTCAATAATGTCGATGATCCTCAAATCTTCCACTAAAAGACATTGCTTCCATCTTCGTCTTCTTCCTCTGCCCATTGAAATGGACGCCTGATTTCATCTTCGTCTTCGTAAACTTGTCCTTCTTCCTCCTTTTTCTCTCTGTAATTCAGGTTTTTCTTCCTCCCTTTCCAAATCTTACTCTGTTTCTGTAATTGGACCCTTTTTTTGTGCTGGATTCAATTTGTGGACGGTGTTTTTCATAGTTTTGTTTACTGTTTCTTGATTTCTTAGTCGCCAAGTTTAAGGGAACTGATTGAAATCCATGGCGTTTCATGAGATTCATTCGTGGACCTTGTCTGGTTTAGTCAGAGCTTTTATTGACCTAGCTCTTGTTTATGTTCTTTTGTGCGTATCGGCTACTGTGTTTATCCCATCAAAGGTTTTGAAAGTAGTTGGGTTGTGCTTGCCTTGTCCTTGTACTGGATTTTATGGGAATCGGAACTTTAATTTGTGTTTGCATAGACTGCTTGTTAGTTGGCCGAAGAGGAAGATTTGTCTGGTGCTCGAATTGGTGAAGGGTAGGTTTCCTTTTGATTTGATTTTGATCGATGATCAAATGGATAACACGAATTGGAGTTCGTTAATGGAGAATCATCATACGGATGGAATTCCTAAGGCTTGCTGTAGTACATTATCTGGCCCAGGATTTCAGAATTCGATTCATAATGATAGCGAACACGACGGTAAAGGTAAGAGGATTATGTATCGGAGGCCGAGGACTAAAATCCGACGACAGAGAACTGCGGTTGAGGATGTGAAATTGTCCAAGGGAATCTGTGAGGGGGATGAAACTAGAAAGGAAAGGGAATATGTGGCATTGGTTGAGAGACAAGAATTTGTTCCAGGTGATCATATATCAATTTTACCATTTTTTTATATGTTCTGATATATTGTTCTCTTGCTTCAATTGATATTGCATCCTCTCTGACATGATGTGTTTGTTAGTTTTTCTGGCTATGAGTATCTTTGAAGATTTTATGTTAGAACTATCAAAGATTTTAACAGCACAAAGTAAGAGTGAAAAAACATTATATGATTCCTTCTTTTGTCCTCAATTGTTCTTTCTACGATGCAAGTTCATTGATAATTTATTGTAACAGCCCAAGTCCACCGTTATAAGATATTGTCTTCTTTGGGCTTTCCCTTCTAAGCTTCTCCTCAAGGTTTTAAAATGCGTTTGTTTGGGAGAGGTTTTCACACCCTTATAAGGAGTGTTTCGTTCCCTCCTCCAACCGATGTGGGATCTCACAATCCACCCCCTTGGGGGTCCAGCTTCCTCGCCCGATGTCTAGTGTTGATACCATTTGTAACAGCCTAGCCTATATTGTCCTCTTTGGGCATTCCCTTCCAGGCTTTTCTTCAAGGTTTTAAAACTCATCTGTTAGGGAGAGGGTTCCACACCCTTATAAGAAATGTTTCGTTCCTCTCTCCAACTAATTTGGGATCTCACATTTATATAGGTAGCTGAGCTAACAAACAAGAACAACCGGCCTACCACAGTGACAATATTAACTTATATGCACAAAAGGCAGCTTTCCAACTAGAAAGTAACCAACTTGCATCCTATGAAAACGTGAATTTGGTTGAAAGCTGTATTTACTTCAACATGAATCCTCATCTCCTTTGTTTTTTGGCTTACGTAGAGGAGAAGGAGGGGTTTTATATCAATTTTTTGCTGTATAATGATGTTTCTGTGACCTTGCTATTTCAGATGATAGTAATGAATCAAATCACGTGGAATTGAGTGAAAGAAACTGGCAAGGCTTTGAATCAAGTGGTTCAGTTGGCGAAAATGATTATATGAATAAAGGCTCTTCCACTATAGGACAAGGTACCAGTAACACTCAAGAGAGAGACATCGACAGAAATGAAGTAAGCTGTATTAGATTGCTGGACCAAGCACACGAAGAAACTGCTCGAGCATCTCTGTTTCTGGAACTAGAGAAGGAGAGAGCTGCTGCTGCTACTGCTGTAGATGAAGCAATAGCCATGATCACACGTTTGCAAAATGAGAAGGCGTCGGCTGAAATGGAAGCAAGACAATATCAGAGAGCATTAGAAGAAAAAATTGCTTATGATGAAGAAGAGATGAATATCCTCCGAGAGATCCTTGTCAAGAGGGAAATAGATTATCATGTTCTGGAGAAGAAAATCAAAGCTTATAGACTGATGGATCTTTCAGAGAAGGAACAGTTAAAAAGAAAGTGGGATTTCATATTGGATGAACGTAAAGAACAGTCTGCTACTACCCATTCAAATGCTAAAGACAATGAACTGAGGGATTGTGATTTGAAGAAAAGCTTTGTTTTCTGTGGGGTACGGCCAGAAAGTATGGAGCACATCGAACACGCAGTTAATGATCTAGGAAGTTCCATTCTTGATATGGAAATAAGTGTTCAAGATATTCATATGATTGACTAAAAACTCCACATGGAAGACATAAAAGAACAGAGAAAAGTTGATAATTGCTTCAGCTGGCATCAAGTGGTCCTACAATTATGCTACCACCCTTGGAACATTTAATGCCTAAAGCATGGACTTGATCATCTAAATCAACCATAGAACTAGAATTCAGCAAATATCGCAAGGTCGTTGTAGTGTTGTCGGGTTGGAACTTCTCCATCTGTTAAAATATCGAACTCCCAAGATATTTGACGGCTAGGAGATTCTTTCTGACAGGTTGTATTGGCCACTTTCTCCTTTAAGGTATGAATTATTACTTTACCATTTATTCGTTGCTGATGACCATAGTTCTCACATATTTGCACTAATTTCGTTGATCATGAACTTCTGCTGATTTCTTTCTCTTAAAATTTGTTTGGTTGATTTGGAAAATTGCAGTTGTTGATTCCATTGTTGTGAACAAAGTTACTACAAATTAAAACTAGTGCTTAAGAGAGCAAGTTATATATCTGCCTCTGATTTGATCTGCTTGCATGATTATCCCTGCTACTCCTCTGCATTCTGATAGGGATTGTATTAGGATATCGAGCGTATATTAGTAATTAGATAGGAAGGCTGATACGGAGATACTAAAAACCAAATAATTATCAAACATGACTCGTCGAAGGGGTTGTTGGGTGTCGTAATTTAATAGCTTTTCTTCTTGCTCGTTCTTGGTTGTTCTTCTCAACTAGTTTCCTCATACAAATTGGGAAGAAAACAAGTACAAACTCATATTCTGGATGCTAAAAGTTTTTTGAGAACTTCTCTGATTTCTGGGTAGGTGTATGGTTAACTAGTTTATTGGTAGAGGATTCTCAATTAGTTTTTTGTGAGAAGACCCTGTTCATATATGGTTAACCTTTTCAGTTTCTAAATGATCCGAGCAATTCAAACCTAACAAAGATGGACTTAATCTCGATTCTATCTTGATATTAACGAAAATTTCTCAAAAAATTGTAGTCTATTAAATACTTTTGTGGATATTTTTTACGAGACGTGCTTGACAATGTACGAAGATATTGATGCATCGACGGATATTTTGTTCTACACCGCAGCAGCTAACAACTTGTGACTCGATCGCTTTTTGCAGGTCAGGTGGCCTATATTCTTATGAAACAGATCTGAAGATGGGATATTCTGAACTCTTTTCTTTCCTCCCTCCCAGTTGCCTTTGTAAGTTAGTAGCTGCTTTGCTGTGTTGTGAGATGTAAATACTGTTCCTTGACCGTTCAAATATAATTGTAAATATTGTACAAATTTGTGATTCTTTTGAGTCTATAAGAACAGCTAATATAGCCTAAGCTAAATTAAAAATTGTAAATATTGTAAAAGAAAATAAAAATATCAAGAAAAGAAAATAAAATAAGAATGTGAGTGGCACCCCACAATTATGTTAATAGATTAAATTTTTTTATGGCACAAATTAATTTTTTTAAAAAAATTAGGATGTAATTTAATTTTGTAAAAAAAATATTTGATTTTTTTTTAATTAGTGTTCAAATATTAGAATGTAATTTAATCTGGTAAAAAACTATCTAATTTATTATTATTTTTGTATTAAAAAAAATAGAATGTAATTTAATTCTGTAAAAAAATATGTAATTTAATTTTTTTTTCTAGTGTTAAAAAATTAGAATGTAATTTAATTTTTTTAAAACATTAGGTTATTTTTTCTCCGTTAAAAGATGGTAATGTAATTTAATTTTGTAAAAAAATATTTAATTTACTTTTTTTTTTCTGTTAACAAATTAGAAGGTAATTTAATTAGGTAAAAAATATCTAATTTTGTTTTTCATTCGTGTTAAAAAATTAGAATGTAATTTAATTTTATAAAAAATATCTAATTTACTCTTTCTCTAGTATTAAGAATGTAACTTAATTTCGTAAAAAATTAATGAATCATAATAAAAAAAATATATAATATAATTTTGAACCTAATTTTAAGGTTAAAAATTTGACAATTAAGCACATATTTTGATATAGCTAGCGAGCAGGGACAAAATCTCTCTACTCTTTCAATAAACTCTTGACTTTATTTAGGAGCGGGTCTCCTCAGTGACCCATCCAATGTTATGACAAGGCTTTGCTTAACGGTAGTTTGCACGACTCATTTCCCGTTTTAACAGCCACAAAATTAGGGGAGAACCCACCTACGTGTCTACTAATGCTCTCGTGAAAACCTAAAGCAGTAGTTAAATAATATTTGTTCCTAAGCGCAAAGTGCAGCAATCAATTAGGGTTCGCTTTTATTTGGTAGCTTTAGAGAGATTTTATTCTTCTTCTAGCTTGTAGCTGCTCTTAGCGGGCGAGTCGAGTTACCATTTGTGAGTTAAATGAAGATCTATATATAATTAAAAAAAATTTAATAAAATTTAAAGAATTAAAATAATTTTGTATTAAAATTAGAAATGTTAGATTAAAATGTTGATCATTAATATATCCACCTTAGTTTGAATATTCCTAGGATCAATATGTTGAGAATAAAGTAAAATAATAATAATAATAAAAAACAATTATTTTAAATAAATAAATAAATAAATAAATATTTTTGTAATTAAAAAAAGAGCCCAAAATGGATACCCATATTTTCAAAGGCCCCTTCTTCATCGTCTTCTTCATGTCCAGCCCACTACTCGCAGAGGTCGCATAGTCCCCCATTTTCAACTCCATCGAACCAACCTCGACGTTGGAGACTCAGTGTGACGGAAATTAGGGACAAATAGGGTTTCTCAACGATGCTTCATGGCTGACATTTGCAGAAACGTGCTGTGTTTTTGGCCAATTTTCATTCCATTTTAATTCACCCAACCATTTCCCTCGCACAAAACCCTAGGGCACACCAAGCTGAGGGAATCAACTCTCCGGGTTCTCCAATAATAGCCCTACTACCTTCCAATTTCATCACTCTCTTCGAAATTCAGGTGATTATTGTGTTTCTTGCTGCTTCCCGGTTCAATTTGCGAAACCCTAGAATTTTAAATTTGGGGATTTTCCTGGGGTGCAATGATTCTGTGTTATTCTACCTTAGGGGTTTTAATGGCCGCATGATTGTGTTTCGTATGTGTCATGCATTGTGATTGTGTGCATCGAGGTTAGTGTTGCAACCTTGTTGATTCAGGATTAATAGCCATGGGCACGAAATTTTATCGTGCTTTGATGCATATGAATAGAAAATTTCGTCGAGTTTGTTCGAATGGTAGGTTTATTGTTTCTGAAGCTTCATTTTATCCGTCATGGACACGCACGTTTGGGAATTTACAAGACAATCAGTTGCAGCTGCCATGCTGTAGCGGGCACTGTAGCTGGTTTTCATATTTCACGTAACTCATGTCTTGCCTCCTAATAATTAATTTAATCTATTTAGTTAATTCACTTATTGTCTTTTAGTTGGTTCTTCTAATTCTTGTTTCTTAGAATTCTACCTTCGCCCAAATCATTTTGTGTTTGTGCATTCTCAGTACGGATGTATTTTTACTTTTAGCTATTTAAATCCATGGTGTTGCGCTTAGAACAGCTCAGTCGTGTTTTGTTCTTTTGCTATGTGTGCGTTTCCTGTTAGAGGGTAGGTATCTTAAGGTTCTGCCCAAACTAGACTTGGTAAAAGGATGGGACACATTGTTTTTTTTTTTTTTTGATAAGAAGAACGAGACACATTATAAATCTTGGAACTCAAATTTAAGTTGGTTAAGTACCCTTCTCTGTTCCATGGATTGACCTAGTGATCTTTAAGGCCAATTAACAAGTGTAAATGGTTTAGGGGATGGGTTCAAACCATGATTGGTACCTATCTCGGATTTAATATTTTTCAAGTTTCCTTGGCAACTAAATGTAGAAAGTTAGGTGGTTGTCCTTTGACATTAGTTGAAGTGTGCTTAAGTTGGCATCGACACTTGTTGATATCTAGAATAGAGAAAAGGTACCTATTGGCTCTTTGAAATTTTTGTAAAATCTATTTGATAATTTCGAGGGTGAAGTAGATTGCCAAAAACATATAGATGTCAGAGCACTTGGTCTAACATTACGAGCTTCAGCTTTAGAATATCTTTCAGTTCATTGATTGTCTGTATAGTGGATTGGAATTGAGTTATTGGGATCAGAAGAAACATTTTCAAGCAGAGTTGTATGTGATGGAAAATTAAGATGTTCTTCATAAGATGGTTAAGATCGTAAGAAACTAGTTATTTGTACAAGAATACAGTTCTTCTGCACTTGAAGATTTCTTTGAATTGCGACTCAGCCAATATACCACTATGCATATGTTGTAGTGGTTGTTGGCATTTTTGTTCTTGGGCTGTTTCTGATAACCCGAGCAAGTGAAAAAGTTGTTAGAAAAGTTGAAAGTCTTTAGAGGCTTTTCTTTCGAGGATGGACAGAGGGAAGAAAGCAATCGTTTAATCCATTCCTTGCCTGGTTAGCTGACAGGCTTGGAGAGGTCATTGCTGTTACTATTAACCTACCATAGTTGGCATTTTTATTCTTCTTCCCAACAGCATGCAAGCTTTTCCTGTGTTTGAATCAAGCAAGAAAGCCACAGGTTTTTTGTTGAATTTTTTTTGCCCAGATTCTTCCTTAAAGCTATTTTTGACGCTTAATTCTGTGATGGGGGGAGGTACATTGGAATTTTATAGCTGTTTGTTTGGTTGTAGATTGGAGTGTGCTTCTATATTAGTGTCTGGTGGTGGGGATTTTCTCTACCTTAGACCCTAAGTTTTTATTGTTGCTATTTTTCTCTTTATACATTCTTTCTAAAAATTGTTGGTTAACTTACCATTTTGGTCCATATACTTCGAATTTCAATCCATTTCAGTTTCTGTACTTTCAAATGTCCAAATTAAGTCACGTACTTTCAATAAAGCTTAAAATTGATCCCTACTGTTTGTTAATTGTTACTTTTCTAAAAAACTAGTCTCTGTTTACCTTCTCTCTATAAATTTTGGAAGTATGTTCACATTTTTGTCTTTTCTTACATAAAAATTATTATTATTATTTAACTGATTTTGGGTAACAATTAACTTCAAACTAATGATAGAGACTAGTTTTAAGATTCAATGAAAGTACAAAGACTAAATAGAATGATACCGGAAGTTCGTAGACCAAAATGGTATTTTAACCAAAATTGCTGTTGCATTATTTTCTTTCCGTAGAAAAAGATATTGGATTCGTTATGTCAATGTTCTACCACTTGTATGGAGGGAATGATACCTGTAGGTTTTCTTTGTACAAGATGTGAAGATCTTCTTTGTTGGGATATGTAGTTTTGACTTTAACCACCAGTAGCGAAAGGAGCAAGCTGCAGATTGGGTTGGCCACTCATCTAGAATTTAAAATATATAATATTCTTCTAATTTTTAGATAGTTGTTGTGGAATGAATTAGGTGATTGTCTCATGAGAACTATTGAATGTGTGCACTCACAAAGTGGTTTGGCACTCAGTCATAAACAAAAGAGTAGCTTTGTATGTGTCAAGGATTGTAGTGTTACTTTTGTTAGGTGCTAAAATATCTTATTTGTTTTGTTTTAGTATAGGACACAAATGAATATTTTATGTTGTTTTAGATCCCTTAAAGACACATAATAGATATTTTCTAATATTGAAAGATATGGTATTAATTTAAGGTGTTATAGGTTTTTCTTTCTTAGGAGCTTTGGATAGTTTTTGTACCAGCCATACATGATGTGGGTGTATAAACTATATTCCCTAGGCTGATTATATAACTCAGTCCCTAATGCTTGTTTCATTTTTTAGTTTTGTTGCTAATCTTTTATAATTTCAATTTGATTTTTCATATCCTTGAAAATTTTCAAGCAAGTCCTGAACATTCCTTGTTTTAGTTGCTTTATTTTCTATAACAACGAGCAATTTTGATTTCAAGCTGGATAAGTTACTGTTCCAGGTTACAAGGAGTGAGTAGGGTTCTGATATTACGGGCAAGTATAATAGCATTTCTTTTGAGAAAGAAATGTAATTAATTTCAGTCACCAGTGGTGGGTTAAAAAAAGGATCTTCAAATAGTGATTCGAGTAGAAAGTGCATAATACAATACCATTTTAATGGGCCTATTTGCTATAACAGCATGCAATTTTCATGTTAGGTAAGTTACTATGTTCCAAGTAGTATGAAATGAGTAGGCTTACATTTTGGGAGAAAGTGGTAGGCTTATTTCATCAAGTTTAGATAATTTTTTAATTCACCTAAGGCAAAAAATATATGTTTTAGTATACATTTGAGTTTTTTATTTTTATTATTTTATTTTTTTTTATAAATTAATCCCTATTGTTATTGAAGTTTTATGAAAAACTTTTGAACGTAAGGGACTAGATTGGAACATTTTAGACAATGGGGACTAAATTTTAAAATATGCTTAAAACTTTGGGACTGATACAGATATTTAGCTAATTAATTCAATGTCATAAAATTAAATGTACTATGATGGCATATTTTCATTTTATCTGTGTATTTTAACGTTGTGTGTTAGTAAAAATTTGATTGAAAAAATCTATATATTGAACAATAAAATGGAATTTTTTAAAAGATTTGGGACTAAATTGAAAATGAGAAAATCATAAGAGTTTTTTGTTGTTGTTTTTATTTTATTTTATTCTTTTAGCCTACTTATTTAGCAATCCTAGAAGTGATAGTGTGTCTTTTCCTATTTTTAGATGATGCTTCTGTGGTTTTATTTGCCTATGATTCTTCTTATTTACTCAAGGGAAAACAAGGAGGAGCTGTTGCATCGATTTTTGGGACAATTTGAGTTTAGTCCGATCTACACAACAGACATCTTTTTTTTTCCTTGAACTCTACTGGTTTACAGGCTGAGATGATGTGGTGCTAGGAATGCTTGAGTACCTATATCATGAGCTTTATTTTTCATCCCAGGCTAATTGACAATGGTTTGCTCCACTGTATGTGTGTGCTTTCATTTATATCGGAAGTATAGTTCAAGTTACAATGTGCCTGGATTTGAATAGTTTCATATGGTGGTTGATGTTGAACTTAGGAATATAACCTTTTGAAACTTTAATTAGTATCTGATTTTTGATTGTATTCTATTATGATTTTTAAAGTTTTGTGTTTTACTGGTTTCGATGGATAATATTGATGAGAGGAAACTATTGTAGGTAATGATGCAGGAATGCATGGATGCTGCTGAAGCGCTGGTTTCATAGTAAATGCTGAGGTTGATTCCATGGGAGGAGTTGTTGACGGTGGAGTTGGAATTGGTTTAAATACCTCTCCACGCAGAGCAGCAATTGAGAAGGCTCAAGCGGAGCTTAGGTTCCAATTTCCATTTTTTTTATGTTTCCACATTTATTCAATTATTTTTGCACTGCAAGTTCCATATGTATAAGAACATAAAAACAACATTTGTGTGCTGATGACAGACAAGAGTATGATGTTCGTGAGGAAAGGAGGAGGGAACTTGAATTTCTTGAGAAAGTAAGCTTATCTGATATTTTGTGACACTGTTTTGTTGCCCGTTCCTTCTATAATGGATGATCACCTTCTATCAAAAAACAAACAAACAGTGGATGTCGCTTGAAATACTTTTCTTGCCTTTTAGGGTGGAAATCCTTTGGACTTTAAGTTTGGGAATACCACTTCTGCTAGTCATTCTGCTTCACTTGCTGATCACCTTCCTGACCAGCTCGGTAATAGGTATATCTTTTTGTCTTCTATCATTGGATTAAGTCTTTTGCATTACTCAACTGTCCTTTTTTCCCCTTATTCCATGGTCTTTTCTTTCATATTTCAGTGAAGCTAAGGGTAGCTTTGTGTTGACTGCTTCACCTCATGGGGACTCTGTTGAAAGTAGTGGCATACCAGGGGCCCCAACTACCTGTGAACCAAATAGTGCTGATAATCTTTTACTCTTGCGTGTTGCTAATGAACTACCTGGAGGGGAAAGGAACTCGAGACGACCTAGTTCGAAAGCTACTGTTGCTCCATCTGAACAATCATCGCAGTTGGATGGTAGTCAAAATAACAAGGAAACAGAGGATTCTGCTATTTTTCGCCCTTATTGTAGAAGACACCGATCTAAGTCAAATAGAGATGGTGGTAGATCTAGTTCATCCGATATAGACAGAAGTCACGGTGGTAATACATTGTCATCAGCTGCTCGTCAGGAATCACGGGAATTAAAGGGAACGGTACCTGGAATGTGCAATGAAAAGAATCAGACTCGTTCTAATCCAAAGTCCTTCAGTTCAAATGGTGATAGCATTTTAAAAATGGTAACTGATGATGGTCGATTGGATATGGAATTGAATGGCACTCGTGATCCTGATACAATTACGGCCACAATGAATGGCAATCCCCCTGACAGTGAGTTTGACAATTCAGCTTTGAGATGCCCAAAGGAAAGTTTGCACCATCAGCCATGTCAAGTCATAGCTGAACAAGCTCGTAAAGGAGTGGTGTCCCAGGGACCTGATGTTGTTCGGGAAAAAAGAGAGTTGGTACCAGACGTTGTTGAACACCCAACTTCTGTGGCTGCTACCAGAATTGAAAGTGAAAGTACGTCTGCTGGTGTACATGGATATGATGAATTGACAAAAAATGGTAAAATGCCTAATGGAGGTCAAAATGGAAATGTAATATTAGGGACAAAGCAGTTAGATTTGGTGTCTTCTTCCAAAAAAAGTAGACTAGGTTTAGATGTAAATATGGATATTGATATGTTTAATAATTCAAGGAAAGTTGATTCAAAGAGAAATTCTATCAAACAGTTACCAAGTTCTGATCAAACATCATATCAAATTGGTAATGAAGGGATGTTGGAAAATGAAGTCGTGGCTTTAGATAATACTCTTGTTCCTCATGACCACCACAATGTTAGACATCAGAACGCCTCTAGCAGTGGTTCTTTCTCTAGAGATGGAATAGACATTCGTACTAGTAGACCCAATATTGTATCTGATGCTAAGGAGGTGGAACAGAGTGGCAAAAATGGACTGGGAATTGATGAAAAGAAGAGTACTGTTTTGGGTGAAGATTCTAAAGAATGCAAGGAGAAACTCATCTCAGAACAAACTGAAGTCCCTCTGGGCTTGTCCAAAAATGAGATTCGTGAGGATACTGTGTCTGGAAGGAATTCATCTGCTTTATTTGATGTTCAGAGTTTTTCTGGTCGTGAGTTGAATCAGGCAGGCAAGGCTTTTGAAGATTCTATCCTGGAAGAGGCAAGGATAATTGAGGTTGTCTTTCATTTTTTTCTTTGGATTATATAAAACTTGACGTGCATAGTATGGAATTCTATGATTAATTTCTTTTCTATGTTTTTGAGGTTTGGCTTTGATGCTAACAGGCTAAGCATAAGCGGATTGCAGAACTGTCTGTTTATACACAAAAGTTAGAGAGTCGGCGAAAATCTCACTGGGATTTTGTGCTAGAAGAAATGGCATGGTTGGCTAATGATTTTATGCAGGTAATTTTATCGATATAATACTGAGCCACAGATGTCTGGAGAGTGAAGTCAAGTTTTAATGTTATGGTTGAACTATCCACGAGAAAATTATGTTCTCCAGTTGCACCATCTAACATCTGTTATCTTTTGCTTATAGGAACGTCTTTGGAAGACAACTGCAGCTAGTCAACTATGTCACCGTGCAGCTTTTGCTGCTCGATTGAGAAATGAAAAACAGAAGAAGTTTGGGAAGATAAAAGAAGTTTCCCAGTCCTTGGCGAAGGCTGTCATGCAGTTCTGGCACTCTGTTGAGGTGCTTTTATATAATAGTATATATTTTAAAAATCACATGGTTTATCTAAATCTAGGAAGATGGTATAACGAAAGTCTCTTATTAAGACTCTAAAACTTCCCATTGGGATACAAAGTAGAAGCATTTTTCTGCTTTCTGTTCTTGTAGAATAGGTTTAACCACTTGCGTTGACTCTTTAGTTTATAGTTCCTGTTTACTATTGCATTTTTTTTTGGTACCTGTTCAGCTTTCTCCATTTCTTCTCACATGCAGCCTCCATGGTTAGTTTATTTGCACCTTCCCCCGTTTATTTCTTGTACTAAAGACCAATACATGCATGTAAAATCTATTCAGCGGATGTCCTATCATACCTTTACCCATAGATGTGCACCATAGCATATGTTTTAATTGTGTGTTGTCATCCTATTGTATGTTGTTATGGCATAGAAGTGCAATTTTCATCTCATTTCCCATAAGTAATATAACTTGATTAACCAGTAGTATTAAAAAGAAATTCTTTTTTTAGCTTGTTTTATTATCTCGTAATTATGTGTCACAATGATTGGCCAGGAGCCAAGCCAAGAGTTGGAGCTGCAACACCAAAAGAATAGGATCTCTACATCTCTGAAGGAATATGCTGGGCGGTTTCTAAAATGCAACAGTTTTGTTTGCCCTCAGCATGCAGAAGCACCAAAAACCCCTGACAGGACATCTGACTCATGGCACCTTGAAATGCCATCGGAGGAAAACCTGAAAGAGGCATGGACTGTAATAATAAATGTCCTAGCTGTTCTTTTTTTGTTTCTACATTTGCACCCATCATTTAGTCTGCCGTGCCTTCCTCTAGTCCCTTCTATCTCGCATAAGCATGTCCGTATGCTAATATGTTCTTGCACTATGTTTTCTTCAGTATAAATATGTTTTTTGTTATATCTATCACTTATAAGACCATGGAATATTTTGTATGTTTCTTGTCTTTAATCTTTTAAATTAAGAGGATGCTAGATTGACTTTATGATTGATAATTTATGAATATTTACGTATTTAGCTTTGACTTTACAGGTAAGCCTTTTTTATACAATTCCAATTGGTGCGATGGATACATATAGAAGATCTATTGAAGCCCTTCTGTCGCAGTGCGAGGTTGGCATCTCTACCATTACTGTTTGTGGATATTGATGTGATGTATGCCTTCTTTTTCTGTCCAAGGAGAGAGGAATTGAGGATGAATATTAAATCACTTCTCTCCGTGTCTCCTCTCTCTCGCTTTTTAGTACAATTACTATACTATCTGTTAATAACCTTGGATTTATTTTTGTTATTTAATAATTGAAACTAAGCCATTCCATGTGTGATGGATTGTTTTCTGGAAACCTCAACACAATCTTTTTTGAAACTTAATTGACTTCAGTTAATATTTAGTCAATTGGTTTGTTAGTTCTTGCTCATTTGCTGAAATGAAATTTGCAGAAAATTGGTAGCTGCACGAAGGATGAAGTTGAGACTTCATTATATGATACTTTAGCAGGTAATGCTTGTTATTCATGAATTATTAGTAGTTCCACTAGCAGGTAATGCTTGTTATTCATGAATTATTATTAGTTCCTTGTCGATTGACGTTGTATGGTTCTGAAGCTGACTTCTGAAATTTTATTTTTGATGTTAAGATGATGCATTTGATGATGACGGCGAAGCATGCATGCATTTTGAAAGTAGCAAGTCATCCAAATATGTGCAGAAGAAAAAAAAGCACTTCATTAAATCATACACTGGGAGACAGTATGAAATGGGAACTGATTTGCCATACGGACGCGGTGCAAATGGGACTCAACAGTCTATGTTAATAGGAAAACGGCCTGCTAGTCTTATTGTCGGTTCAATACCAACAAAAAGAGTGCGTACTGCTTCAAGGCAAAGGGTTATAAGTCCATTTAGTGGTGGAGCTTCCATGGCTTTGCATGGTCAAGCTAAGACAGATGCTTCAAGTGGTGACACCAATTCTTTCCAGGATGATCAAAGTACTTTACGTGGTGGATCTCAACTCCAAAAAAGTATGGAAGTTGAGTCAGTTGGGGATGTGCAATATGATTCTGCAGAAACATCAGTAAAATATAAGAAGAAGAAGAAGGCAAAGCATCTGGTACATATAAGCTCATATATTGAAACTAATGGTTTCTTGCTGGTACAGGGTTACCTATTCTCGTTTTTATTCCTTCCGCACTGTCTAATTGTTAAGTGAATATGGTTGTAGGGCTCCATGTATGACCGCAGATGGCAGTTAGACTCTACCGTTTTTAGTGAACCGGTGGGTTTATGCTTTTTTTCATTTAAGTTTTGTTACTCCGGCGTGAATTTCTTTTTAGTCATCTTCATTTATTGATTGCAATAGTAGTTAAACTTCCTCCCCTTCAATTCTTCGTAACTAATGTGGTGAGTCTGCACTATTTCAAAGTTAAAACTAATGTGAAGCTTGAAGGTTTTATGTCGAAATGCCTGAGGGAGCATATTAGGTTAATGTGAATTCATTAATCTCACATGAACACTATAAATGGGCAATTAAATTACATCTCGTTGCCATACTACATTTAGTTTTCCAATGTAACAAGTGATATTAAATCCTAGGTAGGTAGCCACCATGACTTGAACCCATCCCCTTTAAGCCCTTTAACTACATGGTCCTTCTTGACCGCTAGCCCAATCCATGGTTGTTGCCTTGAAGACTTTTATCTTGGAAACTAGCTGTATTAAAAGTATGAAGTGAGGTAAGCTGATTATATCAATGCAATTGATACAGGGTATAAATCTTTGACGCATTAAGTGGTTTTTGATCTCCGCTAGCTTCTTTTTGAAGAACAAAGTGTTTTTTCTGGGGGGGGGGGGCGTGGGGAGGAGTTAGGAAGGACCGTTGTAACTGTCGAGCAGAATTGGCTTTAACAGAACTTCCTTGTTCATTTTTGGTGGATGAACAATGAACACAATTCTTGATTAATTGGGCGTGGGTGCATTTAGTTACCAATCCTATCAGGATGATCTAGGAGTATTGAAGATTCTCAACCTTGAAGCCATTTTATCAAAATTTATTTTTATATAGCCAATTTTTATTATTAGTTTTTCTTTCGTGTGCCTACCTGGAAGTCAAAAGCTGTAGTTTGTCACTAATTTTCTGTTTGAGCCCATGTAGCTATCCTCACTGGCACAATTCAAATAATCTATGCACATTAGTCTCTCACGGCATTAAAAACCTTGGTAATGAGAATTTGGAACTTTCTCAAGCTGAGCTCAACTATAACTACATGAAAAAGTGGTCTACTGGTAAATCATACAATTTGGTGTATTCCAAATTGCATGGCTTTAACGTTACTGATATTGTTCCCAAGTAGTGGATGCTGCAGAATGCACTAAAACTTCACATGAAGTTATTGCATTTATAAATGAGTAATTGCTAATTTTAACTAGCTTAATAGATAAGACATCTGTTACCACTATATTTGATCTCCTCCTTGCCCAATGTTGGAACTCTAAATTTTCTGGTGGCTAGTTCAGAGTATGAAAAGAAAATGATACTAATCAGTGAGAAAAGAAACTCAATAGGGGAGATTTTGTATGGTTTTATTTGAACAAGTCTTCCATTCATAACTTGCAACACAATTTGCAGCTGGAAAAAGTGTCTTGCCTCACCTTGAAGAAGATGAATATCCATACTTCTATTGTGGAAGTCCATCCCATTGGAACATCAACCCTTGCTTTAACTTCTTTAATTCATATGAATAATTTATGCATTGAATTAATTACATTTTCTAAAAGACTCAAGGACGTTATTTGTTATTACTATTTTCTATTTAGGTGGAACAGATGAAGGGACATATTTGTAATTTCATTACAGCGGGAGTTGTTTGTAGTTAGCTTGCAGTTTCAAGTTAGTTGTTGGTTCTTGCTGCCTGCTAGTTTCTAAATAAAATTTCTTTGTTTCATTTTGCGAGGCATGAACACATTACTTGATTTTGTATTACAAAGTCTTGGTATCTTGGAGTAAATGCTATAGCACTTATAGTATCTCTACTCTTTTTAACTCCTTTGATTTGGGCATCAATGAAATTTATTTCTCACCAATAAAAAAAAAGTTCGTTTAGCTCAGAAATCTGTGTAAATGCTATAGTGCATGAGTAAGTTCCAGTGTGTATCCTAAAATTGTTATAGAATTAGCATTCTGTTATCAAATGTGTGTTGTTGGCTTAAGAGTATTTTATTGGTTTTGTCTTGATTTGTTGCGTATTTGGATATTGACCACATTCTTGGTTCCTGATGATTTGCAGAGGGATAATTCCAAGAAGAGACTGGATAATCATCATTTTGAATCTAATGCAACTAGTGGTATTTTATTTTTCCTTTTCTCATTTTTTCCTCAGATTATATGTTTATTTATTTATTTATTTATTATGTTATTTGTTCACGATCCTTATAGGATTACATGGGCAACATAATGCCAAGAAGCCAAAGTTAATGAAACAATCACTTGATAACACCTTTGACAATATAAATCCAGTGTCTGGATCCATACCTTCTCCCGTTACATCCCAAGTCTGTAATATGCCAAACACTAATAGAATCATTAGATTGATTGGTGGCCGGGATAGGAGTCGAAAGGCTAAAGCAGTAAAGGTACTTTGTCCTTTTTTGGCCCCTCGTATTAATTTAAATGTCTGGAATCTGTTCTGATATTTTGTATTCAATCTTGGGATTCTTTGTAGATGTCTGATGCACAGTCAGGTTCTGGAAGTCCATGGTCACTATTTGAAGATCAGGTATGTACCCTTGATACTCTTCAAAACCATGCTAATCTGCTTAGCTGCATCTCACGGGAATAGTTGATACAACTCTTTTTCTATATTAGGCACTTGTTGTGCTTGTACACGATTTGGGTCCAAACTGGGAACTTGTTAGTGATGCGATTAACAGCACGCTACAGTTGAAGGTAAAAAGAAACTTAGTTTACTTTTTTGCATTGGCTTGTGCTCAATATTGTATTTGGGTTCCTAAATATATATAAAAAAATTTCTCAATATGCTTGTCTTTTTATTGGGTGCTTGTCTTATTGTCTTCCAAAATATTAGTGTATATATCGCAAGCCTAAAGAATGTAAGGAGCGTCACAAGTTTGTGATGGATAAGACCTCTGGAGATGGGGCTGATAGTGGAGAAGATTCAGGCTCATCTCAGCCCTATCCATCTACATTGCCCGGCATTCCGAAGGCAAGTATTCACCTATCAGCTTTACACATGCACACACACAGAGGAAAGGGTAGATGAAACAAAATTGTTAAGGAACATTGGAACATGTCCTAAGTGCCCCATGCTGGTTGGTTCTTGCAGGGAAGCGCAAGACAATTGTTTCAACTTTTACAGGAACCCATGGAAGAGGACACTCTGAAGTCGCATTTTGAAAAAATCTTTAAGATTGGGCAAAAGCAACATTGTCGAAGAAGTCAGGTTTGTTGGAGTTTTTACTTTTTGTATGTGTATCTATAGTAAGTCAAGCCCCTTACTTCTACTGTTACATGTTGTATTCCTTCTCATCTGAGGACAATTGGAAATTTTTAATATTTTTTCTGTCGCCTCTTACCTGCAACTGAATATCCAAGCGAGAGATGTTTGCTATCTGCAGCAGGAAATTTTTATGAGCTCTACTGAAATCTCCCTTCTCCCCTTCATATAATCTTTTCTGAACTTCCTCTCCTCCAAGGCCCCTACCCACACCACACAATCAAAGAAAAAGGGAAATTAATAAAGTCCTCCACTACAGAACTGATATACTTCAATGCTGTCTCCGAACTTGATATATCCCTCCATGAGTTTTCTGAGTTAACCTTAGAATTTTTAGACACAATCCAATAGGTCCTTTTCTCTACCGTATATGTAATAATCTAATGGCAAGGAGAATGATGTTCAAATGAGCACCTCCATAACCATTTTGATAGAAGAGCTTCATTTTTTCCTCTTTTGTGTTGACTACTTTTAAGGAACTGAGACTAGTTTATTCTAAGCTAGCAGCACTGTATCTTGTTCCAGCTTGTGATATGGATCCACATTCCACACAGGCACCAATTAAGAAATTCTTAATATCCTTCAACTTTATCAATGGAACTCTTGAGTAGTCAAAACTTGAGATAATAAGTTGGAAAATTAGCAACTTTGGCCTTGCCTTGAAAATGGTGTTGTGCAACGAGCTCCAAAGGATGCTAACTTGTATGATGACTTCTGTTATTAAGAATTTAAAAAATTCGGATTTGAATTATGCATGAACATTCGAGCAATTAACTGATCCAAGTCTTTCCCTTTTTCTTGACACATCAAGCCATACTGAGGAGATGGTGAGAAATGGCCTTTTCTTTTTTATCCTATTGAAGGTACCAAGTTTTCTATGTCAAGAAACCAAGTGAAGGAAATTTCTTAGGGATCTTGTAACTTACATATGCAAAACACTTATTCACTTAATATTAAGTTTTCAAAAGTAGGGAGAAACTCTGCAGAATTTCCCAAGTTGATTGAGAGACACCCTCTCCGTCTTCTGAATAAGCCATACTAAGCATTTTTGTTACAGTTCCAGCAGCATGTAAGCATCCATAGAAATAGTTGTTTTCTCTATTCTTGAGGACCAGTCTTCTATCAAGTTCAGCTGTAGTTCAGAACTGTTGGGGAAGTTTTTAATCGTAGTTTTAAGCAAATTTAAAATCTTGGTGTGCTGCTTATTCTTGTAAAGGAATAGTTTTTGTCAGTTCAGTGCTCTCTGCCTTTTGTATTTGTTTATTTTCTCCATAGTTTTTCTTAAAAGATGGATTTCTTCTCCAAAATTAAGAGAAGGCACTACATCTTATGAAATGGGATATAAAAGTAAAGGAAAAAAAAAAAAAAAAAAAAGGAGTACTGAGCATTAATGGTAGTCTTATCTTTCCTTCCTCTGCTACTTTGCGCTGTAGTTAGAAAAAGTTTTTGGTTGCAAGTATAAACAAAAAATTTTCCACTGTCCAATTACCGATCTATTCTAATGATGAGCTCATCTGAGAAAGCTTCAAGAACTTCTGTATGCAGCAAAATGTTATTTATGACATGGCCTGGTGCCTTGTCTCAAAGTTGGCTGCCAAGCCTGTACACATAAATATAGTTTCTGTGAATTGGTTTATTTTGTTATTACCTTATCTTTGAAAATTTGTAATGTTACCTATTTTACTATTTGATGTATTCTAACCTGTACCATGTGTGAAAATGGTAACCAGGAACCTAAGCAAATAGTACAACCCCACGGTTCTCATGCTGTAGCCCTTTCTCAGGCTTTCCCGAACAACCTGAATGGACTGATTTTAACGTAAGTTTTATTTAATTAAACTTGTTGGATTTCTGGATTCCCATTTTGTAATAGTTTGCCTGCTGTTCTTTGTTGGAATGTATCATAGCTAAAATTGATATACTAATTTTTCATATTTTGTATTTTCCGAGACTAAAAATAACCTTTTCCCCCTCTTTTATCTGTTCGGATGAAGGCCACTTGACCTATGTGATGAGGCGACAAGCAGTCCAGATGTTCTTCCAGTTGGTTATCAGAGCCCCCATGCCAGTGGAATGTCTATGGCAAATCAGGGTGCCGTAGCATTAGTTCTTCCTAACTCGGGGGTGAAGGTTTCCTTACAAGGGTCTTCTGCAATGGTTCAAGGAACTAGCTTAACCACTGCTTCTGGTTCACTCAAAAACATCAGGTATTTTGCTATCATACTTTTAACAATCCATATTTTCTGTACCTTCGACAAGTCACTTCAGCTTCTCAAATCTCATGATTTCACATGGCATAATATACTTTACAGGGATGGTAGATATAGTGTTCCAAGGACATCATTGCAGGTGGACGAGCAAAAAAGAATTCAACAACATAGTCAAATGCCGTCTGGAAAAAATGCTCAGCAACCTCACTCATCTGTATCTCTGAATCATCCAGGAAATGAGCGTGGGGTGAGAATGTTATCTGGTGCAAATGGTTTGGGCATGATGTGTACAACGAACCGTTGCATGCCTGTGTCAAGGCCAGGATTCCAAGGACTTACCTCATCATCACCTGTGTTAAATTCTGGAAGTTCTTCCAGTACTGTAGGGATGTCAGTTCCTGCAAATATACACACTGTTGCTGGTTCTGGCCAAGGGAATTCAATGTTGAAATCTCGTGAGACGTTGCATGTAATGCGGGTAAGTAATGAACTTTCATCGATTCAAGATTGCATATGCTTTACTGTCTTTATACGATTGTTTCCTGCATTTTAGTTATACATTGTACTACAATCTGTGGTAGCCAGTATTGTGACAATTCATACCCAATGACATATTGTTAGAAAAGTAGATGATATCATGCTCAGTGTTTTGAAGTGGGCTTCCCAAGAATGCGAGGGGTATGTGCCTCGCTTCTCCCTCACTCAAGTGCACCAAGGCATTCTTCAGTGCAAGTGCGCATTCTGCAGTTTGCTTTGTAGCTCCATTTTATGTTAATTTTAAGTTCTAATTTTTTATTATTATTAATTTATTATTCTCCATACTATATTTTTCAATATAAAAACATTATTTAAGTTTCTCAATTACGTGCCACATGAGAAAAAACCGTTGCTATTCTTTGTGTCCTGCGCTTAAGCTTCATAGAACTGTTACACGTTTGTGTGCATTTGCTTTAAGAAACACTTATCATGAATCGGGATGCAATGAATTACTTTCTGTCTTTTACTTTGTCTCCAATCATCTAAATGCTATATTCTACAGAGAGAAAAATAAAAATAAAATAACTTATTTTTCTATACAACTTATTTTCAAATTGTTGAGTTTAGTGTTCATATATCATTTCTCATGTCCCGAATAATTATTTTGTAATTTTGTTATCTAGATGATCTCACTACTCTATTATGTTTCTAGGCTGGCCAAAACACAGAGAATCAAAGGCAGACGATGGTTCCAGAACTTCAGATGCAAGTCTCTGGGAACAACAACAGACCATTAAATGGTTCAGGTTCTGCCTTCCCAAATCAGACACCACCACCACCACCACCACCATCTATGCCTTCATATCCAGGCCATCTCCAGTCGCAGCATCAAATGGCGTCACAACAATCTCATGCTCATAGCAGCTCTCATCATCCACATCTTCAACCCCCAAATCATGCCATAGGTCCACAGCAGCAGTATGCAATGAGGTTGGCCAATGAAAGGAAGCTGCAACAACAGAGATTCTTGCAGCAGCAACAACTGCAACAAAAACAGCAGCAATTTTCTACATCAGGTTCTCTAACACCACACATTTCGCCACAGCCCCAACTTCCCATGACTTCTTCAAATAGCTCGCAGGTCCATCTGCAAACTTCATCGCAGCAGGTCTCTTTGCCTCCTATAACCTCATCCTCCCCAATGACACCCACATCATCACAACATCAAATGAAGCATCACCTCCCACCTCACGGATTGAGCCGGAACCCCGGAGCCAGTGGGTTAAACAATCAGGCGATGAAGCAAAGGCAACAATCTGCCAGGCATCATCCTCAACAGCGACAGCAGAGTCAGTCTCAACAGCAGGCTAAACTTATGAAGGGAGTAGGAAGAGGAAGCATGCTGATGCATCAAAATCTCACGGTTGATACTAATCTTGTAAATGGCCTTAATGTACCTTCTGGTGATCAACCCTCTGAAAAAGGGGAGCAGATCATGCTGTTGATGCAAGGTCAAGGCTCATATTATGGATCTGGAGTAAACACAGTTCAACAGTCAAAACCATTGGCTCCTCAGTCATCAAGCCATTCTCAGCTACAGAAAAATCTTGTTTGTGCCTCTGGACCACCCTTATCAAAACCAGTTATTCAGATGCAAGCTAATTCCGAGAAAAGCTCTCAAGGCCAGGTTCCACCTGTTTCCTCTTGTCACACATTGTCAGCTTCACATCAGGATGCTTCTGCATCAATAATATCTTCAAACCACCCTCCTTCACAACCACCTCAGAAGCAGCTGAATCAAACACAAACAAGTTTTGAGAAGTCCCTTCAGCAGAGTTCTCAAGGTATCTCTGATCTGAGAATGAAGGCTCAGACTGATCTAGCTCAAGCTGACCAGCAGACACGTAAACAAGCTTCTCAGGTAGGTACGGATAAAGCAATGCCTCAAACATCTGCCACTGCAACTGATACCACACCAATTACTTCTGTTTCTTCTCAGTGGAAACCATCTGAACCTGTGTGTGATTCTGATGTGCTGAAGTCAAAATCTCAGTTGGGTTTGATTGGTAGTTCACCTCTTACAAACTTTTCTGGGGGTGAGCCATTACCTAACAACCTGGGAGTAGGCCCTAGGCAGTCCTCTCGTGCCTTGCCTTCTCATGGGCATAATGCTGGGCTACAGTGGCCACAGCAAGTTCCATTGCAGCAACCTCCAAATCGATTTGCCCCTTCCCAGCAGCAAGAAAAGCAGCAAGAGGCCTCGTTATCCCAACATCATCAACCTCTGCAACAGCAAGCTCATCATCAATCACAGCACAAGCAAGCCGAGCAAGCTAGTTTGTATTTGAAGCCTGAAAATGCTAATATGGAATGAAGCAATCTGGTGATAGAATAGTGCCGAGTCATTTGTCCGGCTGGGGTTTGGTCAGCATGCATTCTGTAAAGGCAGCGTACAGGTAAATAATATGGCTATCAATCTCAATGAATGCATTATTAACCTAGGATGAAGAAAAGGAAAAAAGAGATTGCCTGTTGTTTCATATCATGAAAGGATAGGCTTGCATGATTGAATACTTTCATTCCCTCTCAAATGCTCGTTCAGTGAAGGGTGTATTTTGAAAACTAGTTTCATCAAGTGTTGTTTGTTTGTTAAAACAAGAAACCAAACTTTTCATTGAAGAAATGAAAGGTGATGAAGGCGCAAATAAATGAACTCCCAGAAGGGTGGAATAAAATAGTAAAGAGGTATTTGTAAAGGTGAAATATGAAATTATGTGGTAAGAAGAATATATGAGCTCAATTTTCAACCTGTGCTTTTATTTGCCAAAATTTTTCAGGTATTTTGTCACACCATTTAGTCATTTTCCTTAGCTCCACTTGCACATATAAGGCTTTATATTCACCTGTTTAACCATTTTCTGGCGTTGGAATTTTGTTGTTTCAGACATTCTTATTGTAGAGTGAAGAACATGATTTCATCATTTGTTTCTATTATTTTCGCAGATGAAGCTGGTTAATTATTCACGATTGAGGGCTTCGCTAGAGAGGAAGTGGTGGAACACGTTCTACTTCACAGATTGAAGTTTTCATATGGGATAAATTGTTCTCTATTCATGAGACCCATCCCTAGTGCAGTTCAGGCGATGTCCCTTGCCCTTCCCTTCTCGTTTCCTCAAGGTAAAATTGAAGATGGGAAGGACGATATTGCTGCATTGTGATTTATGTATATTACCACTGGCCTAGTTTTGGGAAGATAGAGACAGATGTAGAGGTACGTGTACAGGGTCTTATCTTTCCTTTCTCATAATTCTCTATTTTTCCGTTGTCTTGAGGCTCTTCAAGTCACCCGTCCTTTTATTAGAGGGCCTCGTTCCTTTTGGAGTTGATAGATTAGTGCATGTATTGACATTAATAACCATTAAGAGGGTAGAAATCATTTCCGAGGACAAATGCCTCCTCGGAAAATTTTGTGAATATTAGGTTTTTGGCGTCTGCATTATCAGTGCCTTCTAAACTAACCATCCATCAGTGCATGTGCACCTGTAGAAGTATTGTATTATGTAATTGTGTACCCAATTTTATAATGCAACAAGCTTCAGTAACTGATCCATTTCTTTTTTGCTGTTCTAGAAGAAAGAAGCCTTTTCTTTGAGTTGCGGCTGCTAGATTCTCTGACCCATAGTTTCCCTTAGATGTCATTTTCTTCTGTTGTCTTTTCTAATTCTTCATGCCCCCGCACATGATTTCAATGTCAATGTTGTCTGTGGTAGTGGGCATCTTCTTTGAGGTCACTTTTATAAAAACTTCCCTTTCATTCTTGATATGAGACTTCTAGGAGACAGTTGGCTCATGGTTTTAATGAGCTCAAGCATTGGAAGCTTGAATCTATATGATGTGTTCAAATTGTGCAAAGAAATGAAACCCATAGAAATCTGGGTTTGTAAAATGCTTCTGTATGGTCCGTCTAGATTTATGATTTGTAAAAGTTTGTATGTAGTATAAAGGTGAGTTTAATTAGCAATTCTTGTAAGTTGTGATGGACAAAATCAGGTGTCAAATAGAAACTTAGCTTCATAATCCTGAGCTTACACCAACTTTACTTGGAAGTCAAACACCCCTTGGTGATTTAGAAAACATTTGTGATGTATATTAGTAACCCGTCTTTGTACCGAAAGGGATTTGAAGCTGTGATGTGTGGGATTGACCAGGTCTCAGCCTACCCTCTAGACCAACTGCCAACAAGCTTTGGAATGTTTTTGTAAGAAACAATCACATTTCCTTTGGTGCTTTGTGACATTTACTATGGTTCTTTGTAGACAGAAGGTAGGATTTGGCATTATGATTCTTCACTAACTCGTATGAGTGTATTAGGTTGGATTGGTTGTGCTATTGATGAGATTGCCAATGTATGCTGGTGACAATGGTTTCATCTTATTATATGATTGTTCAATGAATGTAATTTCTTGAAACATGGATTTCAGACATCTAACTGTCCCATGTTTACTATTTATGGACTGCCCAGATGATAACTGCTTAGTAAACAAGGACTCTTGGCACTCTCCTTTTTTTTCTCTTCGATCTTTTTTTCTGTTATAGTGTGCAGCCATCTTGTTATTCTCATCTTCGGATTCATTGATCTAAAGCTTTTGGAATGCAGCAGAATTCATGTTTCCAAGGGTCTGTTAATGGTTACCAGAAGTTAACTTTGATCTACATTCAAGTCCAATTTCTGTAATTTGTCCAAATTTTGTTAAATAGTGAAGAAGTTTAAATCTTCAATTCTGTTCATTTCACAGCAGTGGAACGTTCGAGGACAGATGAATTTGATTCTTTTAAATCAAGTGACTCTGGTATGGCCTTGATACCTTGCCAAGTTAGACTTGTTCAAGACCGAATCTTTCTCGAAATAAAAAGAAACGCTGAATCCAATATTAGCAAATGATTTCAAGTTATGTTGACCCATTACTAAAGATTTGATAATCTACCAAACTATGATTCTTGTCTTTTAAGAATCACAGTTCTACAATTTAGGATCTGTTGAAGTAAAGTGATTCTTGTATCTAGAGACTTTGTGGGTGTATAAGGGTATTACTAAAAGAGAGTGAAAAGAAGTAGAAGAAGAAGAAGAAAGGGTGATGCTTTGATTGAAAATACGAAATCTGTAGCAGTTGGACGAAAATTGATCTCAAAAAAAGCAGATGGATTGGGTTTGGAATCAAAATTTGAGACAGAGAAGAACAGATTCATAGTAATACTGAATTAGTCTGAACAAGAGCCGTTCTGAATGAAATTGGTTAAAATGTAGGAAACTAAAAAGAAATCTTTTCTTACAGAGTTAGAAGAGGATCCCCTTCTTCTGAAGAACAAGGAGCAAAAATCTTCAAGGATCATGGCCAATCTTCAGCCTCTTGGGGGGAGGAGATCCGAAAGCTTTTGCAATTGAATTCACAATCTTCTTTTCCGATTCTAAAATCATCTCAATCCGCCTGTTCTCCATCGCAATTCTGTTCATCTCCGCTTCCTTCATCATCTCCATCTTCAAACTCTCCATTCCGACCAATCTATCGGCGAACAATCGAATCTCTGCCGCTAATTTGGAGCACATCTCTTTCCCTTCCTCAGCTACCGCCGCCTCTCCTGCCAGATCCTCCTCCGGAAACCTGGAAACCCTAATGTCGGCTTCTTCTTCGTCGTCTTCGTCGTCTTCGCTAGAATTTCTATTTCTCCTTCGTGAGGAAGATCCATCAAAAGCAATCGGCCGACGGAGTATGTTGCTAATGCTCTTCGATTTACTGTGATTCTTCTCCTCTTCCTCGTAATCGGAGTTGTAGTTATCAGATTTCTCAGCGGTTTGGTCTTCTTCGTCGTTATCGAACGGAATCGAAGACATCGGACGAGCGGAGATTGGTAGCGGACCGCGTAATAGGTTGTTCATAAGTTCGAAGTAGAGCCAACGGGAGGAAGATTGGGTGCCGATGGCGAGACGGTGTTTCTCGGAGCGAAAACGCTGGCGGAGCTTCTCCATCTTGTGGCGGCACTGAACGGACGTTTTCGAGGGATCGAAGTGGCTGTAGCCGCAGCGGGCGGCGACAGTGACAGCGACTTCCTCCCACTGGCTGGACTTCAACTGACCTCGTTCGAGAGCGTACCATTTCTCTTGGTAAGCCTGGATAAGATTGACGGTCTCCTGGTGCGTCCATGGAATCGGCTGGACTTTCTCAGTGGTTGCGACGGTGGAGATGGATTTGGTAGAGGAGAGTGGTGCCGGAGGAGGAGTGGCCATCTGATCAGACGATTGAGGGGTTGGAATTTGGTGAGGATTTAGAAATTGAGATGATTATGATCGGTGGCGACAATGGCATACGGCGGCGGCGGCAGGTAAGAGGAGCAGCAGCAGCAAATTAGTTGACATTAGATGAGAAACAATTGACAATAGGTTGTTGGGGGAATTTTATGGTGCCTTTCAAAATATAGCGCTTTGATAATTTTGTAAATTTTAAAAACTATTTAAAAATTATGTAAGTTGGACACATCGATCACATTGGATATTAGCCGCTCAAGGATCGTCACCTTGTCGGTCTGGGACGTTTGGGTCACAACCTACTATATGTGTTCATAGCATGGTTGTGACTATGCACTATTCGATTTAATATGGTTTTAGCTAATAAAATCGAATTTTTCAATTTTAGAAGGTTATAAATTGAAAAAAAATTCTCGACCTGTTATGTTTTCTTTAATTAGACCAAAATGAGTTATATTCACCGTTAGCCAATCCTTTAAATAAAAATATTTTGTTTATCAATATATGACATCCAACAACTTTATTCTTAAATTATAGATTATTTATTTCATGACTTAAATATAATTTTCTTTAATAGTTTAATATTTTAATTAGATACTTAATAATGATTAAAAAAAATAATTAAATAGTTATTTGATTTACCATAAATATGACGTATTAAAAGAAAAAAAAATGAAGACTCGACTTGTTTAAGATTTAAAAATTTGTTAATATTTATTTTTGTTTTTAAATTTAGCTAAAAAATGAAATATTGTCATAATAAAAATAAAACTGGAAATTACAAAAATAAACTACCTATTTTTTAAAAATTTTAAAACAAAATTGATAGAAAATTGTTAGATTAAAATTGATATAAACGACGGAATGTGGGGGTAAAATTGGCTTTTCAGTTTTTGTTTTTTTTGTAATTATGAATTATGCTTGCATTTTTCAAAATCCCCGCTTTTCTCCACTTCTCAGCAACCCGCCCTTTCTCCATTTCTCAGCAACCGGCTCTCTCTCACACTCCTCGCTCATCATTGTTTCTTGAAATTCTCCTCTTTCATCCGGTAAGATCTGATGTGTAATTTCTACACTCGTGATAGCGAACTTTATCTCATGCTGATTGGTTTGGAATTCATCAACTGCGTTTGTCATTTTCAGTTTTTGCTGTCTTTTGGCATGTTAATTGGTTTAAAGCAGAGGTTCATCGTTGTTACTTTATAAAAGAACATTGAATTTCTGAGAGAATCCTGTGCTTTAATCCTGTTTCTTCAGCCGAAGCTCCCATGTTTGTTGAATTAATTTGTGGTTCGATAATGTCGAATATGCATCTATATTGAGACTGTAACTAAACTAGTTTGCTAATTCACCAATTTCAAGTATTGCACTAAAATTTATCATGCTTTTCTTTGATTTTTATATTTTGGCGATAATTTGATGTTAGTTGAACTAACCATAGATTTCAAGTGCATCTATTCACCAATTTTAGTATTCTACATTTTTATATTGTTGGCATGTTAGTTGAATTAGTGCGGTTACTGATTTTTCTCTTCAGTATTATCTTTCTCAAAGTTGATTTAGAGTTATATTTTTATAAGCTGTAGTTCAGCCTCCTGATGTAGAGTTCTGTTTCTATTCTCTCTGGGTTACCTTGGCACTGCTGACGATTAAATTTGGAAGATTTCGTCAGGATTTTGTTGGTGGAAATTTCTAAACCTTTTGAGATAAAATTTCGTGCGTAAGTTAACATTTGAACATGATTTTTGGAAATGAAAATTCAATGTTTAGAAGATTTTTATTTATTCCTGTCTGTTTAGTGATAAGCTCTATGAATTCTAAGTTGCTTGAGACGAGGGAGTGTTATTAGTTTGACGCCTCTAAAATACTCTCGGGTGCCCACTATTTCTTTTTATTGCATGGTCATTTTATCCTGTTTGGACAGATCTGACCTCACTAGCAAAGCAACTTGGTGGTGAAATGAACTATTTATTGGTCTTTCTCCCTTTTATATTCATCAGGACTAAGAACATTAGCAGCTTTACCAATTTCCATTAGTGATCTGCATTGTACACTTGGTGGTGAAATGAACTATTTATTGGTCTTTCTCCCTTTTATATTCATCAGGACTAAGAACATTAGCAGCTTTACCAATTTCCATTAGTGATCTGCATTGTATTTGAAGAATATATCTTCTACTAGAAACAAAATGAAGGTCAAAAGATCCTACTTGATTTGTTATAGATCAGATTGTTTTTGTTGCTAATTCAGGTTGGTCTGATTCTCAGTGTTGTATACCGTTTAGGATGTTCAAGATTTAGTCCTGGAGCTGGTCTAAATAAACTTCTTTTGCTGTGAAGCTTGTTTTAGATTTTGAAGTATGGAAATTTGATATTATGATTGTGACTTAATTCTCACTTGATACATCATTTATGCGTACACCTTTTGAGTTTTTATCTCTAATTAGACTGCATATGGCATCAATATGGCTTACACATCTGTCTCTCAAATTTTTCTCCATAATTGATTCATGTTCCATTGTTGCTTTGCTAGGATGCTGTTATGGTCAATTACGGCGTTTGAATTGTTTTTGGTTAAATTAATTAATTCAAGGTTTGTTTTTGACGTCAAAAAATATAAAGTTCGTACAGCGACAATCCTTTGAATCCTTTAGAAAATTGGCCTTTTAATATCATTCTGCTTTAATGGTGAGGGTGTTTAGCCAATTTTCACTCTCAAGTTTCAAATTTCTAGTCGTTCATCTTTTTTAAAAAACTCGTGGACTAACAAATCTATGTAACTCAAGCTTCAGAGCTGCACAATTTTTACATAGAGGGGAGATAGATGGACTTGAAAGAAGCTGGTTCATTGCTTAATAATCTAGTTGCTGCTTTCAATGGTCGGATCGCGGAGCTCCAAGATCTCGTAATTGCACGAAATAGTGAGCGGAAATATTTAAGCCTTTATTCTTTTTCTTGGCTATAATTCTATTTGATGCATAAATGTCACCACTGCGGGATTGACTTCTGTTGTCGTAGTGTATCCGGCGAGTTGTATCCCTGATTTGTCGGCAGTTGATGCATCATTGAAGGCAATGGAGTTGCAGGTGCAGGCAATCAAGAACCAGTTACAAGAAGAAGCTGAAGCAATTCCCAAAGCGAAAGTATATTCGCCCCTCCCTCTTTAGACCATCCTTCTGCTAATTAAATTCTGTTTGCTCCTTTTCCTCTGCATAATTAGGAAACCATAAGAAATTAGTGAAAGAATGTTAGAAATGTGTTTACCTCAAATAAATAACATATTCAGTCTGAAAGAGTTTTGAAAAAATTGGGAGAATTGATAACCCAAAAAACTCGAGCAATAAAATTCCCATTCCTTGATCTGCAAAATACTTTTAAGATTTATAATTACTGATAAGATAATTACCGATTATTATCATTCTCATGACGCTATGTTTCTCTTTGTAAATTTTGCTGAGCTTTACAGAGTAGTGGGTTTAACAGTTTTAGTGCTGTTTTGAGTGGCCAAATTATTGCTTTGTTGATGTGCAATATAACATTTTTCACCAAATTCTGCAGAAACTTATCGAAGCATCTCTTAAGCAGCAGAAGAGGTTAGAAAGTATATCACTTCACGTTCCCTCGTATCATATTCAGCCCCAAAGAGTTTCTGCGTTGAACTTAAATACCAGGTAACTAATTTGTTTGAAATTTTATAGGAATTCCATGATCTGAACCCCAGCTTCAAGTTTTATTGTTAAGGTAGTTGTGATTCATGAAAAGGTTTTATGGCCTTCTGTTTTCAGTCTTTGTTCACAGGCCAAAAAAACTGATACTGAATTGGGCTCCCTAGAGGCTGAGAATGTGATTTCAGTCTTACCTAAGGTCGGAGTTCTCTTCCTTTAGATATGTTTGTGTAAAATGAATGCATCATACACGTTCATTCCCATATGAACTAGCAAATAGGGCTCAAGTTAGGCATTAAATTTTTCGTGAACCTGAAAGCCATTACCTTGTAGGTTACAATAAACTTAATCTTTCATTTATAATTTTAGTACTTCCCAGCCTCATGGGTTTTAATTAGCACAGTGCTCAATGGGTGATAATTAGAGAGGAAATAAGGTTATTGACCTTCAAATACAGAACTCCTTTTTTGATACGATACTAAATCATAATTGAATTCAAAATCTTAAGTTGATGGAGTATGGTGAATTTAATATTTAATTTATATTCTTAACATTATGGTATGACAAAAAAAATTTAAACTTCTTCCGGAATCATTCTTTTCTTCATCATTAATGTAAAAGTGATCTTTACAATGCAATTTCAGGAGAAGAAAGGTTCCTCTCCACCACTTTGGTACATAACCACCGACGAACTGAATTCACTGTCATCGTGAGTTGTTCTTTCCTCTTATTGGCACGTGAGAATAACTGCTAGCTAGTTCTGCTTACTTACATTCCTAAAATACAATGCACTACGACAGCTCCTGAAATTACTAACTTAGGTATCAGCATTTGAAACTGAAATAAAGCTAATTATACGAAAAAAAGCCCTTCAGCTATGTTGTTAGCTTCCATTTTACGCTAATATTTTGATTTGTTACAAAAAAAAAAAAAAAAAGAAGACATTTCCATCAGCAGTTTCTGTTATAATTAGAATTTTTGAAACGTTAGGGACAAAATTGGAGCCAAATTAATTATACAAAATGTCCCAAACGAGTGTGATTGGTTTCAATCTTTTATTTTCTATTAGACATATTAATGAAGATTGCTAATAAATGTTTATTTATGAAACAAATTAAAACATTGAAAGTTTAAGAAACTTTGAGGACAAAAGTGAAACCAACTACATCCACGTTAGGGACATTTTCTATAATATACCCTTTGAATAATTTTCATGACCGGTAATCTGGTGTTTGGAGTGCATTAAATAGAGCTGAACAATTCGAATATCAAAGAAATAAGAAAGCTGCAAATGTCTTTAGCGTATGTTTTTCCTGTAAAGTAGCATGTAATCCTCTAATTTTTTTTTATTAACTCTTACCAACCACAGATATATGAAAGGAAGGTTGACAGTTGACAAGGTCAATGCTGCTATTAATGACATGGCAACATATGCTGAAGCAAATGCTCAGCTTATTGTCGTCCCAAAGAAGAAGGTTCGTGTTAAATTCTCTCTCTGACTTAACAAGCATATTGATAACCACCACACCACTTATATGCTGACAATGGGTAATTTTTGTGAAGCTGGCTGAGAACCAATGGGAAAAGGCTCTGGTAAGTTTACTTGCAATCTTTCCACATCCGCATCTCTTCTTCTTCCTTTCGCTTCCTTTCAGCATTGACGCTTGCAAAACTTAAGATGTAGCGATGTAGGTTCTAGGCACACTAAAGATTATTACATAATATATTCATTAATATTAATGCATTATATATTGGGAAAACGTCATGTAGAATCATGTGGCGATGTAGGTTCTAGGCACACTAAAGATTATTACATAATATATTCATTTGTATTAATGCATTATATATTGGGAAAACGTCATGTAGAATCATGTGGGTGTTCTGATTGTATTCCTAGTAGATGCTACACAGAGAATTATTTTTCTTGCCCATTTTACTTGAGATCTTAGGAACCCCTTTCTATCTAATTGACAAAACTGGATAGAGGAAAAAAATGTGATTTTGGATGGTTGATCGTCTGCATCCAATCCCAGTTGTAGGCGAGGTGGCAATGGTGGAGGTAGGCAACGAAGAGCACTGTCAAGAGTTGCTTGTAAAATAAGAGAGTTAGACAATAGTATGGTGTTGTCTAATTACTAGGTGGTGCTTTGCAAGTGTTTGGGTTAGGTGAATACGGCGTAGCTAAGTATCGTGGTAGAGTGGTAGCATGCAAATGGTCACCTCTGGGCATCCCACCTTTATCTCTTCGAGCGTTGCGCTAGATTAAGGATGATCGCATTGCATTGGGTGGCCTCGGGCTTATGTTGGGCTAACTTGTGGCTAGGGTACTAATTGGTCAACCCATACAACTTTATGCTCAACCTACTCTATTTTGCTCCTACTAGACCTAGTTGGGCTATAGTCTACAAATTATGATTTTATTGCAAAATTTACCCAAAGCAATTGCTCTTTGCTAGGTGTGTCGGTGGGTGGCGTATGAGGACGAGAAGAGCCTCCCATCCCTGCAAAAGGTCCTCCAAAAGACTCACCTAATCCTTCGTCCTCATACGCCACCCACCGTCAAATTGGTGATTCTCTGAACAGTGTGCACGCTTCATTCTTCGTTCTATCTGTTTCCGTAGACTGCTCACAAAAAGCTATCAAACAACTTGCAACATTGGCATGTCTCATTCTGTCTCTGTGTAAAGGGCACGAAAGCAGAGGTAAACATACCAAATTTTGTCAGATTTTAGACTCTGACTGAATAAGAGCGTCAAAGCGTAGAGCTCTTTTATTATTTTACCAGCAGCAACCCTCCACCAGACTCTCTACCACTACCTTCTACCACAACCTTCACGGTCGAGGATTATTAGGAGTGAATTCCACGTCGGTTAATTTAGTGGAAAATCATGGATTTATAAGTGAGCAATACTATCTCTATTGGTAGGAGGCCTTTTGGGGAAGCTTAAAGCAAAGCCATGAGAGCTTATGCTCAAAGTGGACAATATCATACTATTGTGGAGATCCATGATTCCTAACAGTCACCTTATCTTTGATTGGATTAATGTGCACGCGATGAAACACTGGTTGTTTGTCCAAAATCATGCAACAGCATCCCTTACCCCACTCCTAATGGCAAAAGAATCCCAAACACTGCCCCCATGCTTGCAAATTCTGGAGCAGGGTGGGGTTTGGGTCTTGTGGGGAATTTGTTCCTAATTTGACGGGGAATTCTCGTGCGGTATCTCCATGGGGACAAATCCCATTAGAACCCGATGAGTGTCAACAAGTGTTGCAGCAAATTGATGAGAGCAAACGATGTTTGATGAGTGCAAATGCACCAATATGTGATGGAAAAAAGGGTAGGTGCAGCGAGTAAGTGACAGTAGTGGTGCTTGGTGAGTTGGCGAGAGCAAACAATGTTTGGAGAGTAAGCAAACTGGCTACGATAGGTGGCAGCTGGTAGTGATAACCTTGTTAGCCCTCAAGTCCTCCTGGGCAAGGGCAAATGGTGGAACCAAAGCTCCAAAAAGAAAAAAAGAAGTTAGTCAGTGAAGGAGGAGGAGAAGAAAATGATGATGGGGTTAGGGTTTCAAGTTGAAACTATCTATAACAAATAAAATTATGAACATGGGCTATAAAAAGTGCCTGAATTAATACAAGTAAAGACTAACATTGATCTTGAACACCGTCAAATTGGTGATTCCGATGGGTAACCACAGGGAGTCAGGGATCTGAACCCATGTTTTATTTTTATTTTTTCTAATCTTATCAAGATGTCATGTTTGTATTTCCGGTAAATGCAGGAGCTAAGAGATATTGCAACAACCGAAGCAGTGAAAGGAAAATATTTCTTTCTTGAAACTGACATGCGAGGACCTTCATTGAAACTTGACAACACTGGAAAAGCCATACTAACTGTAAGTTTGTCATATATTATTAGCTCACTAAGCAATCACAGTGATGTTGGGAGAGAATACCATTAAGCAAATAGTAGTGTTATGTTAGGAGATAATACCAAAAGTTCATTCATCTAGTCAATACTTTAGTGTATGTTTTCATCAAAATTCGAAGCTTTTTTCATACCATAGTTCATATTGTACTGTTGATTGATTCTTGAAAAAACTGTCAAATTTTGTGCATCACAGGTCCTTCGACATCTTGGACGCATAAGCGAGACTCGGATTGGACATCAACGCATAATTTTACTTTTAAAACCATCATAAATAGCCTTTCATTCATTTGGACACAAGATTACCAAGTCTTGCATTGAAAGTCAAGAGAATCAGCTGTGTACAACTCTAGCAATCCGTTTCTCAAAGATTAATCCTGGGCAAGGTGAGAACCTCTAACCGATAAACTACATTCTTCTTATGGACAAATTGATAGAATGGTATGAATTATTTGTGGGATTTGGTGTGCCTTTGTCTTCGATTATCATCAAAGGAATCCTTAGATTGAAATGAGATGATAGGATTCCCTATCTTTTTGGAACATATTTCTCATGTGGATCTTGCCTTCGAGTCCTTAGAGCGTATTTTTCGGTCCGCTCGAAACGGTCGAGATTCCGATATTTAACTTCTTAGTAGAGTAAAAGTTGTAATCAATTGAGCTAAAATATGTGACAGGTTGAAGAAAAAAAGCTTAGAAAAATTGGGAAAATTAGAAAATGTCGAGAATCTCCAAAATGAAGCCATTGCAAAGTGGACAGTTGCCTCTACTGACCAGAAGTTCTCTTGAACAGAGCCTACAAAAGGTGTGACCGCAGGGGATAAATGCCGCCCCTTTATGACGGACCATGCACACGCAGCACTTCTGTTCCGACCCGCCGCCCACGACGGCGACTTCGTCTTCCTTTTCTTCATCCTCTTCTTCTTCTTCTTCTTCTTCTTCTACTTCGTCTTCTATTTTGTATCTTGACCCTTCGAACCCCATTTGCCTGTCCGTCTCTTCTAAGAGATCCATTAGTGACATTCTCACCGGCGCCGCCGTCTCCACCGCCGTGGAGTCTGCTTCTTCATCGTCTTCGTTGGCGGTGGTTTCTGCGTCGGCTGCCTCTTGGGTCGCCACCGTTTCTCTAGCCGACATTGATCTCTCCATTGCCAGTGCAGCCGAGAGGCGGCGCGTGCCTTCATGCACCGGCTCCGTCAAGTCCGTGAAACTCTCGCTCCGTTCAAGTGAGCGTCTCGTAGAGTTGCGCCGCGACATTTGCGGCCTGAGGAGACTCCGGCTACTCCGACTGCCAGTGCCGGCGATGGTCGAGTCGGAGTTGTTGTTCTCGGGTGATTCGCCGGAATTTGTAGCCTCGGGAGACGTCGGAATGTTCTGGCTTAACCGCGTCGAATTCCGCCGTGAAATTTGCCGGAGAACCGGAACAGCAGCAGCGACGACAGGAGTAGTGGATTCCGGCGATTGCTCTTCGTTCGACGTCATCTCCGCCGACGAAAAAACCGCAAAACGAAGCGAATTCGGCGGCGGAATTTGAGATCTTAGATTCAAACGAAGTCGATCTCTCAAAAACTTCCAAGATTTCCTCTCTCTATTACCAGCAGCAGGGGACTTCCCAACGTCGTCTCTTAAAATATCGAGCAAAGTCCTCCCGTTTAGTCTCACCTCCGGCGAGGGGTTCGGCGAGGCTCGCTTATGAACGGTCAAAACGTCGTTCAGGGTCAAACCACCAGTGACCTCTCTGCCGTCGCCCACCGCTAACATCCGATCGTAAAGCGTAATTCTCCGACGACCACCTTCCATAGATAATCACAAAAAAAAACACCCAATTAAACCAAATACAAAACACCCCCAAGTCTTCAACAACAAGAACAATCCAAATTTTCTGAGAAAAACAAAGAAATCAATCCAATTCCATAGAATTCCTTGAAACAGATCCAAAACACAAGAACAATGACAATCCTCCCCAGAATTTTCCTGGCAAATTTCTGATAATCTGGAGAAAAACTGTGGAGGAAGAACAAGAAATTGAGAGCTTCAAGACCTCTACTTAAAAAGAGTAACATTATCTTCACACACACATATATATATATATGTATAATAATTGAGATCGCAAGCTTCTGTCAATACGCAACTGGAAAAGTGAAGAAAATTTAAAATTATATTTAAAAAAAAAAAAAAAAACAAAACACAAAAAAGGCATTTGGTACCTTGTTGGTCGGACGAGAGATATGAACAGTGAATTTGCCGGAAAATTTCTGCATTTGCTTTTATGCCTTTTTCTTTTGTTTTTACTGAATCGGATTAATTTGGAAGAGACGAACTAATTAACCCATTCTACCGAAAACTCAGAGGCAAAAACTTCAAAATTAAAAGTGTGATTTTATTTTATTTTATTTTATTTTATTTTATTTATATTTCTGTGAATTAAAAAGTTGATTTTGTGAAGTGGAGCGGTAATTGTGGGAGTAAAAAGTGTTGTTTTCATCCCTTCATTTCGGATTAACCACAACCATTTTTATTTTAATAAAAAAAATTTATTCCTATTTATTACTTAAAAAATCAAATTTTAATTTATTTAAGTATATTATTAATTATACGTTTATATCAGTCTCTCTCTCTTCTTTTTTTTTTAAATGAAATTTCAATATTTTTGGGACTAACATTTTACTGACATTATTAAGCTAAATTTCAATATGAATTTTACAATAAATTTATGAATACTTGAAACCCTTTTATTTATTACGAAGTAAGTTCTTGACGCCACACATAAATTTTACAATAAATTACCCATTCATTGCATCCATCTCATAGCCGTTGTCTTCCTTTGTATCCCAAATAAATAACTTTTATTATTTTTATGTAGTTTTTCTCGTGACAAAAGTAAGAAAAAAAAAAGTTATGGGTCCTTATATTTTTTATTGAGATATTTAATTTAAACGTTAAACTTTTGATTTTACTAAAATGTGCTTTAAATTAAAAAAAACTTCTCAATAAACTATTTAATTACACGGAAATTAACTTAAGAAAAATTCTAGACTAGCGATAAAATTGAGCAAGTTCAAATAACTATAAGATGATTAGGTTCGTTCGTGACGCTTTTGTACAAAAAAAAAAAAAAACAAAAAAGCCTAACATTTTTTACCCTTTTAACCTTTTGAAAATTATTATGTTTTTTACAACAAAATTATAATTAAAGAAAAATAATTATTTATATTTATTATTGTTTTTTTTTTCAANTTTGGGTTCTAAAAGTAAGTAAGAAGAACTACAAGTTTGTGGGTCCCACAAAAATAAAACAAAAGTTCTATCACAAAGACAAAAACTATTGTGGGAACAAAATAAATAAATAAATGATTTAATTGAATAAATATTAATTATTATTTTATTTTATTTATTACTTTAAATAAATATTAATTATTATTTTATTTTATTTGTGTGAAGTAAGTTGGGTGGTTGAAGTTGTAGAGCTACATGACATGATGACCCGATGGGCGAGATATATTTTATTTTATATGCGGTTAACATTGAATAAATAATCTAACAAATCTATAATATATGGATAAGGTGGAGAGGTTTGTCACGGTATGAATGACATATGAGAGTAACACAATTGATATGAACCCATTCCGTAATCGTTCTAAATAATTTGATCCAAATCATTAATATGAAAATTACGTGAACGGAGACATCATATGTCTCTAATATGATGATTTTGAGATTTGAGGTCAAACACTTTCACTAGTTCGAGAGAACACTTAATTTATGTCTGATTATATACAAATTGTTCATTAGAAAATCAATAATACGAGTGAGATATAATTACAAAGGTATAATAAACTTTTGACCAAACTGTGATTAGGAACCGCTCGTGAAAAATTTAATTATATATAAAAATTATATTGGTAGTGAAGTGAGAACAAATTGATTAATTAAAAGTTTTAATTAGTTAATTAATTAATTTTGTTAGCTAAAAAAAAGTACAATGATTGGAGGATATGGGAAATGGGAACTTTGAAATATCTAAGGCTGACAGGCAGACAAGAGAATATGGACAATAAAAAGAAAGAAAAATAATAATAATAATAAATAAAATAAATGTTATATGGAAGCTATTATTTAAAATAATAATAAAATAAATAAATAAATAAATAAATAAATAAAACAGGTAGCCCCATCAATCTTCCATTGCAGAATCCAATTTTTGTTGGTCAACCTTCACTCACTGCCTTCCCAATTTCATACTTTCTAACCTCACCATTCTCTTCAATTATTCATCTTCCAATCATTGCATGTAAGTTTTATTTATTTTTGCTCAAATTCCATTTAATAATTTTTGCTAAATTTTTTTTGTTCGTTTATAATCGTTCTATCGTTTTTCTTTAACACTACGTAGGGTCGAGTATCCATCATTACCCAACTCCTTTCATGAATTTTGTTCTACTAGTCGGAAGCTTTGTTTCCTCCCATTTAAGTAATTTTGAATTTTTATACTACACGATCATCCCAAGTTTCGCAGAGGCAAACGAAATGCTTATATCTATTGCAAGAGAGACCGGGTTTCAAAGCTTTTTGTTTAGAGGTGCATGGGTCATCCTCCAAATATGGGTTGAATTTTCGAAATTTTGTATGAGCTTGTAGCTAGCTGGTGTTCCCGCATAGATTCTAGACCCATGAACCTGTCTATGTTTGACTAGTCAACAAGAGAAATGACCCATCATCTCGGAAATTTAATTTTTTTTTTTTAATTATAACTTTAATTCATTTTATAAATTTGAACATTTAAAGAGTAAAATGAAATTTAGGTATTAAATTATTAGAAAGTAAAGTTCATAGACATAAAATCATTGGTTTAACAAAAGTATTTGGATTTAAAACTTTAATATCTATGTACCTCTAGATGTGTGCTTTTAACTGGTCAATTTGGGTGTCAGAGGCCTTGTGTTTGTTGAGGGAAATGCCTTCCACTAGAAGCAAAGCATTGAATTGGCTTGTCATCACAAAATAGACAAACATCTTGTTGCCTCCCCCAACTATATTTGTGGGCCCTCTCATTTCTGTACCAGATGTCTTAGTACTCACCACGACGTTACCGGGAGAAACTTATCTCGAACAGAATAGAGAATGAAGGAGTGAATGAACTAAACGGAGGTACGTAGGGATGAGGATTATATTCCTCGTCCCCATTCCCATCCCAACTCTGCTTTCACTTTTTGTATATCAAATACCAAAGATTAAGTTCTAATATTAAAATTTGAAACGAATAATTTTTTATAAAAATGAGAAGATCCTTCCATTGAAAACTCGATTCCTGCACATTCTCCGTGAAAAATGCCTGTGAAAATAAATTTAAAATATAGATTGAAATAGAAGGCAAAAATCGAGCCAGAAAAGACTTGCCTATTCTCGTCTCCCTAATAAACATTTCTAGCTTTCACGACTTACATCTAAATTCCTTAATTAATGGACGTTTCCAATAACTTTTTAGATCATGGGTTGTAAGAAGATCAGTATGCAACTATTATGAAACTGATAATGACGACCATAGAGAGCATATGCACATGAATTCAAACAAGTGATGTCGCTTTTTATATATTATCCTCAATGACTCAAATGGCAAAGAAATGGATAGAAAAGGAGGATGTCCAGAGCTCCATGGCCAAATCTCAGGCTGTTGGTCCCAACAGAACTTGGCCTTGTGCAAGTCAGGTGGGGAAGTAAGAAGCCAAATCAGAATTCGAACCATTGTCTAACGGTCACGTGAACTCTTATGGGTAAAGATATGTTGGGATATGAAGCCTGATGCCTAATAGAGATATATTTGGAAAATATTTCGTAAATATCTAATAGAAATATATATGATACATATTTGGTAAAGATTTGATAGAGATATATTTGTTAGATTATATATTTTAAATCTTTGGAAGCTATATTTAGTAAATTGAAACTATATATACACACTATTAGTCGGGTACTTTTTATTCATTCTCTGTATTCTATCTTGTTGTATATACGTCATCAATAATAAAACTGTTACCTAATATTCCTTCTTGTATTTTCTCTCTCCGATTCTTTGTGTTCATCCTAATCAAGTGTATGCATTGTTGAGCGATCCTAATAATTAGTATCAGAACTAACAAATGGTATCAATCCTAAGAAGATGACTAACATATTAAGAGGGGGAAAGTCTGATAAAGTTATACTACAACGACAAATCAACCATTAATATTGCACATAATTCTATCAACGGGAGTTTGGTAGCAAGGGAACTTACATCATAGCAAGGTTTTGAATGAGCTTCTTCCTTCTTGTGGTTGGCAGACTGCCATGGGTACCATTATGAGCAATCTGTTACTTGCTATATTGATCCATCATCCCTTCCAAAACAGAGAATTTTCAGCTTGTTAGAGCATTTTAATGATTTCTATGAAGCTTATAAATGGCAGCTTTTATGTAACTTCCCAAAGCATATTTATAAGATGGTGAACAAAAGTACAATTCAGTACAAACCTATACATAGAACATAGCCACCATTTTCTTTCTTCACATTTACAAACCTCAACAAGCAAAAGAAAACTATGAACAAATAAAAGTTATGAACAAATGAGGTGGGGATTGGCTTGGGAAAGCCATGTGTTTATTTGGTTCTCTTGCAGAAAGCAGGAACAAGAGCCTCATCTTCTCTCATCCTTTTCATATTCTTACTATTATAGCTACACGAACATGCTGTACGTGGGAAGCCATTGGCCGTGTTGTTTATTTCTCTGCCTGCGTCGGATAATTCGTCGAAACCTGCATCATATTACAATCATATTCAAGTGTTGAGAAGACCAAAATGATACAACACTTGGCAAACTGTTTATATGTGGAAAAGCCACCATAACGATAAGTATTATGCTCTCAAAAAATCACATAAACAATAAGCATTAATTAAGTACCTGATTTAGTTTCGTTTAACTTCAATTTCTTGAGCAAGAGGACTTCTTCCATGTGTTGTTTTCTTCTATAATCATTGGGACTACATTTCGATACTGGAGAATCTATGCGTTTGCTTCCTGTATAAGATCAAGCACAAGTCAGTTCCAGAAAGTAATCTGTTCAAACACAGATAAACTCCCACTGTTGCTAGTTCTTTTTTTTATATAAGCAGTACATCAGATCCACAAACTTTGGACTAAGCTTCTATAACTATATTTACACCGTTAAAAGAACGTTATTGTAACGAATCTATTCGATAAATTTTGGTTGAACTTGTGTGATTTAGCAAGTAGCTCAAGAACGTTGTCACATAAGCATTTCATTGGCCCTTATTGACCACTAGGATAACCCATTTGAACCCCATATAGTTAAAGAATCAGCATTTAAAAGTTCTGTGGAAATTTTTTCTCTGTTCTTCGATCATTCATATTTCAAGAATTCTGGCAGTCTATCTCATATTCCAAGTAGCCAAAAATTAAATGCAGATGAAAACCATTCCAATTAATTTTATTCCAATTGATCGTGTGGATTAGACATTTTATTCCAATGCAGATGAAAACCATTCCAAGCCATACCTGAGTTCATATGCTTCAACCTTTTATTCTTGACCAGGTTGCTTTCTGGTTTTAGCCTTCCACCATTAAGATTGCCATCTTCTTCATCAGCCTCGCAACAATCCCCATTTGCAATTTCCTGAGGGCAGTGAGCTCCTATATGGAAAAAAAAAAAAAAAAAAAAAAAAATCACAACCTTATAACAATTTGGTTTAAATATTGATCTTTGAACTTTCTTGGATTCATTTTTTCATCCCTGTACTAACAAACCGTTCATTTTGGTCCTATACTTTCAATTGTTCCATTTCAATCTCTGTACTTCTAAACATTCATTTGAATCCCTATAGCTTCTTTAGTCCCTTAATTTTCCTTTTTACCTTTTATTAAGTCACAATTTATACTCTAGACATATAACCAGTTGAGGATTGTTGGGAGGGAGTCCACATTCACTAATTAAGGAGGTGACCATAAGTTTATAGGTAAGGAATACATTTCCAATGGCATGAGGCATTTTGTTGGGGAAACCAAAAGCAAAGTCAAGAGAATTTATGCTCAAAGTAGACAATATCATACCATTGTGGAGGTCCGTTATTACTAACATGGTATCAGAGTCATGCCCTTAACTTAGTCATCCTCAAGTGTTGAACAATAAGGTGTGAGCCTCAAATGTGTAGTCAAAAGTAACCAAAGTGTTGAAAAAAGGGTGTACTATGTTCGAGTCTCAATTAAGGGGAGGCTATTCGAGGGCTCCATAGGTCTCAAGGAAGACTTTATCATGTACTTTGTTCGAAGGAGGATTGTTGAAGATTGTTGGGAGGGAGTACCAAGTTGATTAATCAAGGAGATGATCATGATCATGGATTTATAAGTATTTTGGGAAATCAAGAGTAAAAACAGAAGAGTAAAACCAGGAGAGTTTACGCTGAAAATGGACAATATCCACGATCGTGGAGTTCTGTCATTACTAACATATTCTTGTTTCTATGGTGCCAGAGTCTGTACTAAAACTTCGGATACAAAGACTGAATCCAACATAAACAAGTATCGAGAGTAAAATAGTATTATAAACCTAAAAGTATAAACTAAAAACTCGCCAGTTTCCCTCGCTTTTCTCAGGAACCAAACAGGAAAATCAAAATCCACAAGCCTAGAGTCCGAAGAAGAGAAGTAAAAGAACTCACTCTTGACGCCAATTTTAGAGAGCTTTCCATCAACAACGAGTGCATCATCATCGGAGCCTCCAGTAGGCAGCCGTTTAGCAGAGAAGAAAGAGAGAAGAGAGTTCCAAGTAACAGAGGAGACGAGATCGAGGCCTCGGCTGAGGAAGTGACCATTGAGTTTCACAGTTGAGGGCTCGAGGCCGAAAATGGTAGCTATGGAGCCGATATCGATGCACTGGTCCTCCGATGCAACGAATGGAGCAATGGTGGAGAGTGAAGTGCAGAATAGCTTGATGGTTCTGAGTTCTTGGCCTGGATCCTTCTTCTTCTTCTCCATCATAATCTCCATTGCAGCAGAAATAGAAAGCTTGATCAACTGGTTGTTGTGGGAAGAAGAAGCTGGAATGGAGAGTGGACATTTGGAACGGCCATGGAGACTCACTGTTCGCGGTTTCCCTTACAAATGGTCTCTGGAAGTTTCCCGTACTAGCCCAGCAAGGAGGCCTATTTTCTTTTTTTAATTATTAAATTATCAATAAAAATATTATACTTAAACCTAAAACTCAATAATTTAATTAATATATTTTGAAAATTAATTAGGGCACGACTGCTCTCGTCATTGTATACCGATGGTGAGGAAAAAATAATAGGACACTCGGGAATCTATCCGCCGTTAATATTTCATATATCTCGAGACGAAGCTAACCAAACAAGACTTTTGTTACGTCTAGTATCGCTCACAAGTAAGGGAATCCAAATATGACTCGAGAATGATATCAGGCTTTAAGTGCAAAGTATCTGCTGAGTCCGAAGTGCCTGTAGCAGGTCGGAATGCGCGCGGTGGATAGAGGATGACACTGGTTGGAATCTATCAGCGAAATTTTCATACATCTCAAGTTGTAGCTGATCCGAGCAAGATTTTATGTTGTGTCTAGTATATCGCTCATGAATAAGGGATTATTTGGTGCGTGGTAGGTAAAAGCCAAAACATTTCGAGATTTATTTAAAACTAAGGTATTAATTAGTATATTTTGAAACTTATTAATATAATAACCATAAAAAAAAAAAAAAAAAAAAAAAATATATATATATATATATATTTAAAGCATTTTCTATTTATTATAATTTTTTTTAGAAATTTAGAAGATATAATTGAAAAAAAATATTATTTTTTCCAAATAAATGAGAAAGTTTGAGATTTTTTTTAATTATTAATTTATTATAAGAATAATTATTAAGATATTTGAAGAAAATATATTTTAATAAAAATTTAGTTAATTATATATTTTAATAAAGATTTAGTTAATAGTTTGTATCCAAATTAAAAGGAAGATTATACCTTCAATTTCAATTTTCTTTTTTATTTTTCATTCTTAATAATATATAAATTGGTATTAAAAGTTGATTCAACGTGAAATTAAGAAGAGAGGTTAAAAAGGCAAAAGATTTTGGAGACGATCTGCGGTTCTCCTGTTCTTTCGATTTCTTCAGCCTCCGATTCATTCTTGAATTTTGTACGAGCACACTTGCAGATTTTGCTCTCGGAACAGGATTTAGGGTTAGGGTTGAGTTTTTGCGTCTCTCGTTTAGTTCTAAAGATGTATGCTGATCGATTGGATGCCGACACTCATAGGTCTATAAAGGACCGCCTCAATGGAAATTCCTCTGACCTTTCTGCCCGCCGGCGGCCGATTACTGGGAAGAGGTTCGTTGTCTTTTTTTTCCTATCTGTTTGGATTTTTGGGCAATTTTTGAGATGTAGGTAGTAATTGTTTTTGGGAATTTTTACTGTTGTTTGTGTTACTCTTAAATTTTTGTACTATGGTGGAGTCGCGAGCTAAGACATTTTGGTCGTGGAGTTTATCATTGGTTGAACTTTCTGGTTTTTGCGATTTTACTTAGACTGAAGGTGTTGCCTATTTTGGGTGTAACTTTGCTGTTCTTCTTGTTCGAGTTGTGTTTGGAATCTTGTAGATTGTATGTATTTAGAGCACCTTCAGCTGTTACAACTTCGATGGAACGCAGTGAGGACTGTTTGGTTACATTAAGCCATCAATCTTCTTTGGTGTATTTGTTATGTTTCTGTGCTTGTTGGTTTGGCTTCATGACTTTATGTGGTTTCCTAGCTTAAGTCTTGTTTTCTATCCAAGCAGGAGTTCCAAGATTATATGCAAAAGCTTTGTTACACATTTGTTATATAGCTTTAATGTGCAATTGGATTTTGGCAATGCCGAGAACTAACTTCGTGGATCTAGCATATATTATTTGTCAAAGATCTTGAATGGTTAGGCTTTTATGCTTATTTGGTGCTTCTCTAGGGTGTAAGTGGTTCGGGTATCTCGGTTTTTTTTGGCTAAAACAATACTGATTCAGGAGGGGAAAAAACTGAATGAAAATGGGCTTTCCTTGAAAGTTGAACTGACTGCTCAAACAAAAAGAAACTTGGGTGCAGTGTGCAACCAAATAAAAAACCAATTAAGACAAGAAAATCTAACACAACAAAGATATTCACAGTTTTAACTTATGTATAGTAGAATCGACCAACACATTTTAACCATACCAATAAAACCGGTTCCCGGTTTATTAAATTTTCTTTTCAGTTTTAAATTTGCTCCTCTAGTTCTCTAGGAACAGTCATTCTCTTATAGTATTCTAGCTTCTCAATGAAAGCCTCATTTTCCATCCAAGAAAAAGTGACCTTCAAGATCATGCTTGAGCATCGGTACTCATTCTTTACATATAATGATAGTGGACTTACCATGCTGGAAACTAATTTGATTGATACTAGCATAGATTATTTTATACAGCGTTTGAAGATTGTTGAAGCTTTTCTTGTATTTGGTGCTTACGAGTGTGCTTTCTTTCGTTGATTTTTAGACGCATGTTGTCTTGTTGCTTTCATAATTTAATTGAGATAGGAATTTGTAACTGATTTTTTTTTATAAGTTTAGGCTTTTGGTTTTCTGAAGTTGTCTTAATGATGTGGATGGCCGTCAATATTCATATACCTTTTTGTGAGAATATTTGATTCTCTTGTTAGCTGGACAGTTAATGGTCTACATGTTATTATTTGTTGAGTGCTCTGTATTCATTATATCATGCCGATACCATGTACATTCCAGGCAAAGACAAGATGACAAGTGGGAGCATGATCTCTACGAGAATGATGAACCACAAACTTCAAGTACGAATTGGGTGTAATTGTATCACACGTCTAAAACCCTTTTGGTTAGATGGGTCTAATCCACTTTATAAGCTCTTGATTATGTTCTATTGGCTTTAAAGATCGCAAAGTTGGTGCTCGAGATCTTCGCTTGAAGCTCCAAAAGAGAAGTCAACAGCAAAGTGGAAATTCATCCTTTTCAGGAGTTCGTGACCTACGTGAAAAGTTGTCTGGCACAATGAAGCCTCAAGCTGTGAATAGCGATCCACCAAAACTAAAATTGGATGTTTCAAAACCGACCAGGAAAAATGATTCTGTTGAAGTTCGCCCTTCAACCACTCAAAAAGTTGTAGCCAACCCTGCTACTAGGAAAAAGGATGCTCAGAAGGCAAGAAACTTCCATTTCTCTTATTTATTTTTTGTTTGTTATCTTTTTAAAGTTTTTATCAGAAAATATGCTTTCTGTCAAACGCACGATAGAGGTTGGTCACTTTAGCATTCAATTTTTGTATCTGGAAAACTTTCTTATCTGTGAAAATAATTTCTTTGAACGTTTAATCGAGTTAGTGCATCTGGTACAGTCTACATATTTCTTAATCCCTTTTGCTGCTTTGCTAATGAATTGCAGAGACGTCCAGCCAAATGCATGTTATGTCTCTACATTTTTAGTTGAATTAAAATTTAATCGAGTTGTAGTAATCAGACTTGGAATTACCGACCTTATGTTACAGTTGATGGGCTGAGTTACCATGCGAACAATTGAAAGTCTGACGTTTTGTTTTCTATAATTTGTCTTTTCTTGATTAACATGACTTTTGATGCAGAGTGATACGTCAGTGGATGACTTCCTGCAGTCCTTGGGCCTTGAAAAATATTCCATCACATTTCAAGCTGAGGAGGTATGAAAATCTTGTGTTTTCAAGGAGTGTAAGCTCCTTGCTTTCAAGCTTTCAGCTTAGCTTCCCTGAACTAATTACAACTTTGAACATCTTTCATATAGGTTGATATGACAGCGCTTGTACACATGGGTGACGAAGATCTCAAGGCTTTAGGAGTACCAATGGTAAACTTGCAAGACCTTGTTTTAATAAGTTTTTTTATTATATATGTTTTTGGCCATCTTTTATCTTTGCTACTTGCGTAGATATGTAGCTTATTTGATCTCACTATTTACCGTTTAGCATATATTTTATAAGAAACAACACCATTGACGTATGAAATTACAAAAGAGGAGGGAGAAGGAAGTTATAAGAGACTTCTCTAATTGGACGGAAGAGACATTTAATAAGAGTGAAATAGAGCTAACAATTTACACAAAACAAAACTAAGTGAATAATGATATCCATTAGGCGACCAAAAGGTTACTCCTTGCTTGCAAAAATCCTTTGATCACTCTCATTCCTAGTAATCCAAAGGAACGCTCGACAAAATTCAACCATGGGTGCTTTTCTTTCTTAAATGGATTGCCTTAGAGTGTAAGGCAAGGAAGTAGTTATGCATCGAGCGGAAAAGGAATTGACCAACCAAATGATTGAAGAATTTCCTTTTAAAAGAAAGATGCAAAGGAGCAAGTGTGGAACATGTGGTCTTGGGTCTATGTGGCGTACTCACAAAACGTGCACCAATTTGGAGAGGCATAGATAAAAGGCAATCACCTTGAAAAAAAATTGTTCCAAATGCTCTCTTGTATCAGATGACAAGAGTGAGCTATTTATGTTTCTTAAGCAACATTATTATTTGAATTCTAATATTTGAACCTATCACGAGTAATAACAGGATGGGTGTGGCCTTTAGAAAATAAAGTATTTGGTCAGTTGTTATCCAATCAAAACTAATAGCAAGGGAGTCTATGTAAGGCTCCAAGCCCACCGCTAGCAGATATTGTCCTCTTTGGGGCCCAACCTTATTGGCACACTCCCTTGTGTCCACCCCCTTTGGGGCTCAACCTCTTCGTTGACACATCGCCTAGTGCCTGGCTCTAATACCATTTGTAACAGTCCAAGCCTACCAGTAGCAGATATTGTCCTCTTTGGGCTTTCCCTTTCAGGTTTCCCTTCAAGGTTTCTATAACGCGTCTTCTAGGGAGAGGTTTTCACGCCTTTATAAAAAATGCTTCGTTCTCCTCAACTGATGTGAGACCTCACAGTTTACGTGTAAACTCAACCAATGCAGGCTAGTTCTCTCACCTTGCTAACTGTGTACTCTAGTGCTGCAGTGCATATTCTATTATGGAGTTTTACCAAGAACAGAGTGGAACTAACATAGCTATTTGAAGTTCGAAACTCGCCTTAGTCAAGGTCTTTCTTCCAGACTGCGTATA